AGGGCGCCACAGCCCCTGGCAGGGTCCTTGGGGGCAGTGGCACCCCATAGAGGGACCCTGGGGTAGACACCGCCTCTGGAAGGCCTCTGAAGGCGCCTTCGCTGTGGCAGGGCGATCCCAGGGGCCTTTTCAGTGGAAGTGGCACCCCCTGGGGACTGTCCCAGGGTCAGAAGAGGCCCCCATGGGCCTTCCCAAGTGGCAGCAGCGACACCAGAGGCCCTCCCAATGGCGGTGGCACTCCTAGGGGCCCTCCCAGGAGCATTTGCGCCAACAGGGGACCTCCCAGGGACTGCGACGGTTTAGGGCCCTCCCAGGGGCGGCGGAACTCTCAGGAGCCCTCCGAGATGAGGTGGTGCCCTCAGGGGTTCTTCGAGGGGCGGAGGCGGTCCAAGGGTACCACCCAAAAGCGGTGGCGCTCGCAGGGGCCCTTCCTGGGGCTGTGGCTCCCCTCGGAGCCTTGCCAAATGCAGCGGCACCTCTAGGGGCCTTCCTTTGGGGTTACTGGCGACCCCAAGGGGTCTGCTGGAGGATATGGCGCCCCAAGGTACCCTCCCAGGGGCGATGGTGCCCCCAGCAACTCTCCTTAGGGACATCGACGCCCCAGGAGGCCCTCCCAGGGATGGTAGCGCTCCCAGAAGCCTCTCAAGGGCGACGACGCCCCCAGAGGACTTCCCCGCGTCGTGCTTTACCCTAGGGGCCCTCCTAGCGGCGTCAACGCTCACAAGGGCCCTCCATAGAGGTGCCAGTGCCCCCACTGGACCTCCCAGAACTCCGGTGCCCCTAAGGGTCCTCCCAGAGGTTGCGGCGCTCCCAGTGGCGGCGGGGGCCTTCCAAGTGGGGTTAGTGACCCAAAGGGCCCTCATAGGGGCAGCGGTGCCCCTAAGGACCCTCCCAGGGGGCGGTGCCACCCTCAGGGGCCCTCCCACTGGCAACGGCGTACTCAGGGGCCCTCCCTGTTGCGACAGCGCTAACAGGGGCCCTTCATAGGGGTTGTAGTGCCCCCAGGGAACCTCCTAGGGGCTGCGGTGCCCCTAGGGGTCCTCCCAAGGGTGGCAGCGTCCCCAAAGGCCCTCCCAAGGGCGGTGATGACCACAGAGGCCCTGCCAAGGGCAGCGGCTACCCAAGAGGCCCTCCCAGTGGAGGCGGTGCCCCTGGAGGCCCTCCCGGTGGCAGTTGCTCCCACAGAGGCCTTGCCAGAGGCTGCGGTGCCCCCTGGAGCCCTTCCAAGGCGGTGTCATCAGAGGCCCTCCTAGAGGCAGTGCCCCCTCCCCGTCAGGGGCCCTTCCAGGAGCAGTAACGCCCTAGGGGCCTTCTTACGGACCCTCCCAGTGGTAGCAGTGCCCCAAGAGCCCCTCTCAGGATGGCAGCACTCCCAGGGGCCCTGCCAGGTGCGGTGGCATCCCCAGGGGCTTTCCCAGGGTCGGTGGTACCATCAGGGGCCCTTCCAGGTGCGGTGGCGGATATTCACCAAATGCGCTCGCTCGGATAGCTAGTTAGCTGAGTAGTAGTCGATCTTGGAGATAAATGCAGCTATGGGAGTAATCATTGAGCATTTACTATTTAAAATAGTATCTCCAGCCTTAGCCTGTTTTCTACTATAGTATCTGTAACCACATGTGTAAGGGATGTCTCTGTTACAAAAATGATATAGCCTACAGTATAAAAAAAATCAACAACTCTAATTCCTGAGAACCTTATATAGAAATATTTGATATATTAATATATTTTCATCACTGAATGCAACTGATGATTATTTTCGACTGATAACAAAAACTATACGGAGATACTTATATATGTATTTATTATTAGTAATTTAATAATGTTTTATAAAGTGTAAGTTATTATTATTCTTGATGCTACTAATTGAACTTATATATTTTTCGTGAAATTGTAGATGGAAACAGCTTCTACCACTGATAGGATATGCCACCATATAGTAATTTTCCTGAAGTACTCTACAATTTGTTACAATGTGACACACATTTGAACAGTACATGTAATGGGAAACACTCATATCATCACTGATATATAAAGAGGTATTTCCAAACACGTACATAAACACATACAATTACACCTCAGCCAATAAACAAACACACAAGTAGATGTATGGCACCAAATTTCATTGTAGATTATTTTATTTCTCCGATCCTCTTACAGATATCTAGCGCCGTAAATAGATATATCTTATAAGAAACTAAATTTTCATAAAATATAAAATGTGTTAATACTATAATTAATAAAGTAGGAATTGTATCATATAATACATTTTCACATTAATTATAAGTTCTGTTTCATTATAATAGCATTATTATATAAAAGTAGTATTTTTAACGAAATAGTTTTAATTATATATCAAATTTTACTGTAACAACGTTCTAAATGGTGTGAGTCGTTGCCACCGTTTATGTTAAAATTTTGACAATCCTCGTACCCTCATGGATCGATGGCTAGTAAGAAGTGTACTATTTACATAATAGTCGATTTTTATAAAACGTATAATTACTCAAAATTAAAGACGAAAAAATAAGTACTTCAAATAATTATCGGAAAATAAAAACAACGAAGATATGTTACTTAATATGGCAAAGATTCAATGGATGTGGTTATATGTTTATCCGATCCCAGATAAAATGACGCAAAAGAAAAGTGAATTATGAGTGCCAAAAAGGTTACCAGTTATAGTTTTGGAGTTTTGGCTTTTCAATTTCACGTAGAGTACAAATTCACGGAGATATACATTGTTTGCTAAGGTACAGTTAAGTTACATTAGGTTTACAGGGGGCAGAGAACCTCTGGATAGGAATTTACGTCGGGTCATTTTAGTTTCTGTGGTTAGCTCAGTTAGACATGTACGTATACTGACATTCAGGGGCGTACAGAAGGAGGGGGAGGACGTGTGTGTGTGTGTCAAATACATTATATTATTTTGTTTTGTTTTCAAATTCAGGACAGCCTTGGAGATGTTGACCTAATCCGGTCAGTAATGCAAACATTACACAGCTGCCGGGAAAATGCAGATGCAGTGTTCCATGGCGTTTTGGAGCAATCAGCAGTGGTGTGATACTACCTGTATATCCAGACGTAGTTGCACTAGGCAAATTCAGATCTAATGTAGTTATAGAAGATACCAAGCCATTCTTTCGGGCCACAATATTCATCCCATATCTAGATGACACACTGCAAAACTTGGCAGATAGATTTACTAAACACACACAACAGGCTATGGAACTTGGATTTCTTATACCTAAGTACATAGATGAAAAATCATCGAAGTACCAGTAATTCGGCGTATATTGTACGTTTTGGAGTAAAATCTTACCTCACGCTACACTTCAGCAAGCTCTAGAGTCTAGAATATTCTTACATAATTAATACATCAATATTATCAATATACAGTATACACGAACATTTCACTAAATTTGCCAAAATAACTGTTGCTTGTGATATAAAATAATCAAAACACCTAGTTTACAAAATTGTAATACGAAATTATGCCTCGGCATAACAATATAAAATTTCAGGGAATGAATGAAGATTTTAGACTTTTCAAGAAATGACCAAGTGAAACCAGTTACCATTGGTACAATCACAGGGTAAGTCCTGTCAGTCGTCCATCCCATCATGAGTCTCAGGTTGGTGGACTGACAAGACTTTCTTCCTTGTACACATTGCTCCAGAAAGTATCTTTATGGTTGGGTTCGATAAATTTCAAATTGAACCCTGTGGCTCATGTTGTCTCGTTAGGTTGTCCAAATCCTTCGGCAGTTGTGTAATATTGATTCACACAAAACTAACAGAGAATTTTTGGAGCAAATGTACATTGTTACGAGGTACTGTAGATTGATTGTTTGTACCTTAGCAAATCTGTTCCCCTGTAGCCCTTGTCCACAACACAAGGTAACAAAGGTTTATCACACTTCACTCCTGTCATCTTTTCTTCAATAATTCTACAAGAAATTTATGTGAATGATCAAGTTTTATTATCTAAAATAAAACATCACTACAATATGTATCTATATACATTTATTCTCAACCCAGATATAAAACTTAACAAAATTATTAACATGACATCACTGTACTGTTTTAAATATATGACAGACAGCTAGGGATAAATACAGGAGGTCCCCGGGTTACGTACGTCCGACTTACGAACATATCCACTCATATGAACGAGGTTAAACTTTAAATTTACAGTATTTTATTTAACTGATGACTTATTTTCAACTACTTTCACTTACTGTATTTTGTCATTCTATTTCTTCTTTTCTCTTCAGTGATTTTAGAAGTACATATATAAGGACTTGGCTATGATATACAAGGAGTGTAGTGGGATTTTAAACATTATTCTGTAAGTACGGTATATACATAGAGTAATTAGTTCCACTTAAGTACATTTTCAACTTGAGAACGTCTGTAGGAACAGATCTCGTACATAACCCGGGGACTGCCTACATGAATTTTAATACTGTACTTATTTACTTAACATATAATAATATTAACAAGGAACAAAATAAATGGAGTACAATCGAATTAAAAAAACTTCACCCACTCACTCACTTCAATGACGAGTACTGTACTATTAATGAGTCACTAAACCAATGACCGATTCCCTAATTCACTGACTAACTTACTGAATACACTGACTCAGAAATAACTGTATGACAAGTCCACAAATATTTTAGCTGATTTCTACTTCTTGTTGCTATTGTTTTCTGAATTAAAAAAATATCCATTTTATCCCATTCTCTGAAAAGTATAAGCAAGTATTGTGTCCACTTTTCAAAAAAATTTAGTGATTCAAATAACCTGTTCATACTGTAATATAGATAATATGTTCATTTTTACTCAAAAGTACCGTATTTTATGACATATAAGATGCACCTTCCATTTTAGAAGGGACAAATTAGGAAAAAACTTGTGTGTATTTTCCTCCTGTATCCATAGTTTTCTTAAAATAGCATATACAGTACAGTAAATGTGAGGAATAAATAAAAATAATTCCAATAAATAAGTTACAACAAAAAATACTCTATTGCCAAACCAGTAAATAAAAGCTAAATGAAAGTTTAACACTGTCGCCATTTGCATACTGTATACTGTACTGTACATCTGTATTCCCTGTTTACCACAGCAACGACAATGCTCCCCCCCACCGGCATCAACCAAGCGACCAGCCGTCCTCCCACGCCAGGTAACTAGTGTGCAAAGGAATATATATTCCTTTTGTGTTTACCCTTAGGACAGTTATTTCTTTTACTTTTTCACAATAAGTATGTAGGATGGTGTTCATGTATATCAGTAAAACTAAATGAAGAAAGTTACGTATAACTACCCGAAAATATGAATTGGAAAACAACAACTTGGCCCAGTAGCCTGGTTATAGAAATGAGTCTAACCTGGCTACAATATCGCCAGCGATGTTAACAGATGTAAATGTGAAAAGAAAGCGATCTGTGAATCTTCATTTGTATCAGGTAGATTGAAAAATAAATGTTACAGGTATAGCATTAATAGATTGTAATGCTTATAAGTGTTCAGAATGGTTACTGCTTAGCTACCTTTAAAGAGTTGGGTGTTTACCGTAGGGACATTAATCGTCTCAAGTTATTGTCACCAGTACAGTGTACAGAGTAGTTACAGATTTACTTTTTATATTTACAATACAGTAATTATTTTCTAATTAATTAAAAATAAGAACAATGTTTAAGTAAGCAATAGCAAATTTTAAATTCTGGAGTTGGTTTAGGCAGAATTAGCCTACTGGAGACAGCAACGGGGGGATTAATTAGCTTGTGGGAGACCACAACTTCACATATTGGACACAGGCTGATTTGTTTTTAGCCATTTTTCAGACAAAAATGTGCGTCTTATATGCTGAAAAATACGGTATATAATATCTTGGTATTTGGCAAATTTTCTCTAAATATCATAAAAATGGGTGATAATTTCTTCCTTTATATCTATAGGTATTTCAATGTTTTTTTATGTAATTCTTCAGTACAATTACAAACTCCTCTCTTGCACACAATGAAATTCTGTTGTTCCGGTAATACAACTCTTATGTCTTCCCTGCCACTGGTAACATTTGCTCCTTGCCTTTTAAAGGGTCTTACCTTAAATTCAACTCCAAAATGAAAACATGCCAATGGATTTGACCACCTCACTAACAGATACAACTCAAAGCAGGAGTCTCAGTGGTTCATATGTTGAACACAAAGGAGGATTCTCAAAGGTCGGTATATTAAATTTCACTCATAACTCAAGGCCAAACAATGCATCTGTCAACCATAATCTACGATATAACATTAACATTGAAAATAACCAAAAAATTAAAGCAAATCAACCTTAATTAAACAACTACTCTTCATACTTGTTATGTAGAAATTAGCAAGCAAACTCTAAAGAATCAAGGACTTTCATGAGCATAACATTAGGTCAGGTCATTATGACTTTCAGCAAGACAGGTTACTAGGATTTCAGCCAGTCAGGTAACTAGGATTGTAGCCATTCAATACAGTTACCAAGACTGGACCGACGAATACAGGACCCCGCCTCCCTACTGTTGGTTTCCTCAGGGAAGGTGAATTCCTCATCTCCATACTGTTCCTTGGGGTAAGAAGTATGTGGTTAGACCCTGAGCCACCACTGTGATAACATCTCTATAACAGATACATCCTATGATAACACCATTCTAAAAAATACAGTAAACTATCACATACTTTTACTTTTATTCTCTTCACCACTGATCAGCTCGTTCGCCCCTTGGGTGGTCAGTCACGTCTCTGTTACACACTGTTGGCAAGTACTGGGCATGCACTGGCTCCTGAATGTATCTTTCCCTGCTACAGTGTTTGTCAAGTCTGGTCATGAAATGGCTTACAACACTCTCTGGCAGATGGTTCCAAGAGTTCACAACTCTCACTCTGAAAAAGTTTGCCCTCACAGTTTTCTGGATTTGTGCCTTCTTCAACCAAGAGCTGTGACCCCTTGTGGGGCGGCCGTCCGCCACCTACAGGTACGGACACTCAACTGACTGGTGCCCTCCGAGATCTTCATAAACTTCAAATTATGTCACCCCTTGCCCGTCTATAGTATAAGCTAGGCAGTTGCAGGTGTTCTAATTTCTCTGGGTAACAGAGGTGTCATAGTGCAGGCACCAGTCTGGTGGCCATCCTTTGGACATTATCAATCAGCTGACAATCTCTAGCACAGGGGTGGCCAGACTTTCGTGTGACTGGTCTCCTTTTTTCCATGGTTATCCAGACGTCACCAACTAGTAAAATTTTTCCTAACTGCCAGCAGATAATGGGTAGATTTTGAGTCTTAATGGAGAGCGAGAGAAGTGCTTTGTATATAATTTTCAATGCATAATCATACATGTATGAAGAGTATGAGGGAAGAACTTACTTTACTGGTGTGGTGATTTGCACTGCATTGCATCAACAAGCCGCGTGCAGGCTCCCAACTAGTGAAATTTGGCAGATTTTTATATGTGTGGTATCATTTTCTGTGACGTTATTAATTAATTATTCCCAAAATTATTTAAATATGTCCTTTCTCGCTAATCACTTGTTAGATGCAAAGGCAAAACATGTCATGAATGTTGCTACCAATAATGGCGATAACAAAAATTGCATTTCTATTATTACTATTCTTAATATTATTCTTTTTAATAACAGATGGATCGTAAGCTTGGCAGTGGTTTTGTGTACTGTACTGTTACCTGTATGATCCATGTTGATGGGTTAGGCCGCTACTGCAGATCCAGCGATCTACCAGAAATTACTTTGCAATCTACTGGTAGATCACGATCTACATTTTGACCACCCTTACTCTAGTATATCTCAGGGACCAGACAAGGTGACAGTACTCTAGACTGGGAAGCACCTCACTTTTGAAGATCTTTACGAGTGACGGATTGTCTGGATAACTGAACGACCTTCTCATAAGATCTATTAGTTTAGTTGTTTGATTCACCTTCTTCACACAATGGCCCAAGAACTTCAGTTCGTTGTCGCATACACACCCAGGTCCTTTTCGCATTCGGTTCCTATTGAAGCAGTTTCTTTGTCCTTGGGACATGTGATATGCCTCCTTACTGATAGTTCGACTTAGGTGCATTCTCTTACACTTCGTGACATTGAATCTTAGTAGCCATTTCTTCAACCGCTCTTGAAGCCAACAGAAATCTTTTCTGTCGCTCTTCACCGTTTGTTTGGTTCTTAATTTCCCTGAATAACTTGGCATCTTCCACAAATATTTGTATGGAGGAATGTATAGCTTCTGGCCTGTCATTTATGAAACAAACAAACAACAATGGGCCCAGTACACTACCCTGTTGTACCCTGCTTATCACGGGTACACATGACGATTTCATGCCATTAATCACCACACACTGCTTTCTGTCATGAAGAAAGTCTCTGTTCCTGCAATTGATTCGTTCCTGTTGTTCCTCCTCTCCCATATCAGTCAGTCTACTAGTTGTCATCTTTTCAACACACTTCTGCAGAGTCCCTAGCTGCTCAAAATACCATCCAAAGCTTATAGGTACGGGATGAAACTTCATGCATAAACGTGCTGGAGGGGGGAGGGGGACTGGCCTTACCACTTTTGCCAGGAAAAATGTAAAAAGAAACACACATGACATTTATTGTACATTATAATACAAATGTAAGGGTCATTGGGGTGGAGAGGGGGGAGTGGGCTAATGGGTGGCTGCTTTGTGCACAGTGGGCCCGATTCTCTCCCCCAAAATTAGTAAAAGTCTGGACACACTCTCCCCCAAATTATCTAGACTTTCGAGAGTTTACTGTATTGTAGGAAATCGTCCAAAGCATTCTTGCAAAGTCATACAGACGTAATAATTTCCTAAGGAGTCGTATATACCATCCCTATCTTATTGCCTCAAAAGCATATCATTTCTGTTTATTAAATGAGGGACATCTAGAAAGGGTGTCTGGTTATATTGAACCAACATACTGTACCAAGTTTTAAGACAATCAGAGCTATTATCACTCCACAAAACTGAGAATTTCACTACTGCTCTGTCAATACTCTGAACACTGGCTGCTTTGTCTGATGTACTCAATAAGTGCACACACATATAGTACTCAGTAGGTACACCCACAGTACTCACCAGACCAAAACACACACACACACACACATGTAGTACTCACCAATATAGAGAGGTGGCCACTGTTCCAGTTGTCACACTGTACACTGGCCGCACCGTCAGGAGTACTCGGCACACACACACACCTCTTACGTTCCTGGGGAAGAGCAGTCTGAACCACACGCCTCCCAAACACTATGGCCAATTTCTCAACCTTCTTCTTCTCTTTAGTTAAGGATCGCCTCCTAGGGATCTTGAACGGGTTGAAGGTAAAGATCGTGCCTGCAAGATCATTGTTAGAGATATACAACTGTGAAGATAGTTATGTGTAGATCAGGGTTGTAACAATGATAGTTATGTGTAGGTCAGGGTTGTAACAATGATAGGTATGTGTAGATCAGGGTTGTAACAATGATAGGTATGTGAAGATCATGGCTGTAAGATGAAGGTTATTGACATGTGAAGATTATGGCTGTAGCATGAAGAGTATAGATTATGACTACCGGTATAAGATCAAAACTGATTGTATAATTATAATGTGAAGAGAATTAGGCTTTACTTTATAAAGAACACATACAGTGGTCATGTATGGGTGTAAAGCGTATCATACAGTATACTCCCATTGGGTTCTTAACACTTAAAGTCTTACACAGTCAACTGATATGTTTAGGTGAGGTGTCGGAGAAAGGCTTTAACCAATCAACTCCTTTTATTAGATCAAAAAGCAAGGGTGTAACAACCTACCATGGTCTTAGATATACTGTACTGGTAGTCTCTCTCTCTCTCTCTCTCACCATTATTTTCTAGAGCAAGGGGAGCACAGTAGCCAAGTTTGTCTTTAGGTATGTTAATGTGTCTCCATATGGCTGGGTCGCCCTTCAGTCTTCCCCTTCGGCCCCTGCTCTTGGCGTCCTTCAGCGTGTAGGCGTTACTGCTGTCAATACCTGTGGTTAATAGCATATTACCACAGTGCCAACATAATCTTAGGGTCCATCTTATTAAGAAGGAATAAAGTAAGCATCACATAACTAACATTAACACAAGAAATAAATTAATAATAAAAACTTATTTAATAATAATAATAATAATAATAATTATATTAACAATACAGCATTAAAAGTAATATTAATGAAAAATAATATTAATATAAAAAACAACAGCAGTAAGAGCAATAATAATAATAATAATAATAATAATAATAATAATAATAATACTAATAATAATAATAATAATAATAATAATGTCACCGTGACCTGACTTTTGAGGCTGTACACGGGAAAAATGATAACTTAAAGAGCAAAGTGTACACAGATATGTAGACGGTCCGTCCCTCGTAACGATCTTCAAGAGTGAAATGCTTCCCCATCTGGAGTACTGTCACCCTGTTTGGTCCCCAAGACATACTAGGGACTGTCAGTTGATTGAAAATGTTCAAAGGAGGGCCACCAGACTGGTGCCTGCATTTCAGCACCTCAACTACCCTGAGAGATTAGAGTGCCTGAACTTGCCTAGCTTATACTACAGATAGGCAAAGGCGACCTAATTGAGGTGTATAAGCATCTCAAAGGGCACTACTCAGTCGAGTGTCGTTACATGGAGCTGGCGGACGCTCGCCCCACAAGGGGTCACACCTAAAGGCTGAAGAAGCCGCAGGTCCAGAAAACTGTGAGGGCAAACTTTTTCGGAGTGAGAGTTGTAAACTCTTGGAACAATCTACCAGAGAGTGTTGTGATGGCACCGAGTGTGAGCTCTTTCAATATAAGACTTGACCAACACTGGAGCAGGTTCAGATACATTCAGGAGCCGGTGAATGCCCAGTACTTGCCAACAGTGAATAACAGAGACGTGACCGATCGCCCAAGCGGCTAACGAGCCGATCAGTGATGAAGAGGATAAAAATATAAAAAATATATACTGTAAAGAGAATCCAGAACATGGACCAAAGCAGCTTCACTCCTCTGGCACTCACAACATCGGGCGAGATGGGAACTAGTGCAAAGTGCTTCTACGCCAAACTGGCTCAGGTGTTATCAGAACAGAAGCAGCAACCTTGAAGTTTCGTTGTGTTGAGGAGTTGCCAATCATTCTCCTTGCTTAAGTCTACTCTGCTGTGTCTCAGGGGAACAAGATTTTCAGCCCCTAAACCAACAACAGTCACAAACATGGACCATAAGGCAACAGCTCCAATATGTTGTATGTATCTGCAGCTTAACTAATTCAGCTACGGTAGTTACTTATGTATTAGGATAGTTAAGTAATAAAATGTGTGGAGGAGTAAGGAGTAAGTACATGATTAATGAGGCAGCAATGAAGAAAAGACTGTGAATGTGGCAGAAAGGAGATACTGAATATGTCCTAAGTAAGGCAAGAACACTGCAGGAGAGACTAGTGAGACAGCCATACGTTTGGTACAAGTAGTAACAATAATAAATATTTAATACTTTCCTAAAATCTTCTTTCTCTCCTTCTCTTTGGGGATGTCAAACAGGTCCTGGTAATACACATGTAGCGTGACGGAGTACTCGAGCAGAATATGGTACATGGTGCTGTAATCCATCTGAACAGAAATACAGCCACATTAATCCTCTTACTTCCTGTATCCTACTGAGATTTATCTTAGATGAATTCTACAACAGCTGTATCCTAGTGAGATTTATCCTATACTGTAGCATTCCTCGTATTTGCTGTATCCTGATTAAATCTCCTGTATCCTAGCTATATTAATCCTACATCTACTTTATCCTAGCTATATTAATCCTACATCTACGGTATCCTAGCTATATTAATCCTACATCTAATTTATCCTAGCTTTATTAATCATAAATCTCCTGTATCTTAGCTATATTAATCCTACATCTACTGTATCCTAGCTATATTAATCCTTCATCTACTGTATCCTAGCTATATTAATCCTACATCTACTGTATCCTAGCTATATTAATCCTACATCTACTGCATCCTAGCTATATTAATCCTACATCTACTGTATCCTAGCTATATTAATCCTGCATCTATTTTATCCTAGCTATATTAATCCTACATCTACTGTATCCTAGCTATATTAATCCTACATCTACTTTATCCTAGCTATATTAATCCTTCATCCACTTTATCTTAGCTATATTAATCCTTCATCTACTGTATCTTAGCTATATTAATCCTACATCTACTGCATCCTAGCTATATTAATCCTACATCTACTGTATCCTAGCTATATTAATCCTGCATCTATTTTATCCTAGCTATATTAATCCTACATCTACTGTATCCTAGCTATATTAATCCTACATCTACTTTATCCTAGCTATATTAATCCTTCATCTACTTTATCTAGCTATATTAATCCTACATCTACTTTATCTAGCTATATTAATCCTACATCTACTGTAGCTACTTCATCTACTGTATCTTAGCTATATTAATCCTTCATCTACTGTATCTTAGCTATATTAATCCTTCATCTACTGTATCTTAGCTATATTAATCCTTCATCTACTGTATCCTAGCTATATTAATCCTGCATCTACTGTATCCTAGCTATATTAATCCTACATCTACTGTATCCTAGCTATATTAATCCTACATCTACTGTATCCTAGCTATATTAATCCTACATCTACTGTATCCTAGCTATATTAATCCTACATCTACTGTATCTTAGCTATATTAATCCTATCTACTGTATCTTAGCTATATTAATCCTACATCTACTGTATCTTAGCTATATTAATCCTACATCTACTGTATCTTAGCTATATTAATCCTTCATCTACTGTATCTTAGCTATATTAATCCTTCATCTACTGTATCCTAGCTATATTAATCCTTCATCTACTGTATCCTAGCTATATTAATCCTACATCTACTGTATCCTAGCTATATTAATCCTACATCTACTGTATCCTTGAAACACACACACACACACACACACACACACACACACACACACACACACACACACACACACACACACACACACACACACACACACACTCAACACACACACACACACACAACACACACACACACACACACACACACACACACTCAACACACACACAAATCAGTACTCACAGAAGGGTGGGCTGGGAGGCAGGAGTCACAAGGGAAGTGGATGAAGGTAACACTGACACCTGCCCTGAAGTTCAGCCCAGCGGCGAAGGTAAAGGCATAAAACGCATCCGGCGCCAAGTACCCAATCTCAGGGTATGTCTCGTTCACTGTGAGATAATACAGTATTAATCTCTCTCTCTCTCTCTCTCTCTCTCTCTCTCTCTCTCTGTTTTTATCAGTCTTTTCGTTGTTTCTGTAAGTCTGTCTTTGTATCTATATGTCTGTCTGCTTGTCTGCCTTTGTCTGTCTTTGCTGGTGTTTCCATCTGACTCTCTGTCTGTCTGTCTTCATCCATCTGTCTGTCTCTATTTCTGTCTGTTTCTTTCTGTTTGTATCTGTCTATCTCTCTGTCTGTGTTTATGTCTCACAGCAACACAGCTGAGCTAATCACTGGAGTCTAAAAGATTGGTATTTCAAACTTTTTTTTTCACATACTCAAGCTACGAAAAGTTATCTCCATTACTTAATCACGGTTCATATACATTAACTTTTCCCAATCTTGAAGCTCAAAAGATTTCTGACTCATAATCCTCCATGAACAAGATGTATTTTTAAAAACCTTGTCAATCATTATGTTAACCAGCTCGAGACATGAAAATGTGTCATATTACCTGACATAGGTTATGGGCAAGAGATTAATTCCTAAAAGTTCATACATTAGAAAGTATCTAACCGGTTCACTTAAGCTAAGACCTAAAGAAATCCTTCACTTTTGTTTTCATTAGTGGGTATGGTATATCAGTCTGAGGTGTTGTGGGTATAACAGTCTGTGGTGTTGTGGGTATAACAGTCTGTGGTGTTGTGGGTATGTGGTGTGGGTATACAGTCTGTGGTGTTGTGGGTATAACAGTCTGTGGTGTTGTGGGTATAACAGTCTGTGGTGTTGTGGGTATAACAGTCTGTGGTATATTACAGTCTGTGGTGTTGTGGGAGTGTTATAACAGTCTGTGGTGTTGTGGGAGTGTTATACAGTCTGTGGTGTTGTGGGTGTGTTATTACAGTCTGTGGTGTTGTGGGAGTGTTATTACAGTCTGTGGTGTTGTGGGAGTGTTATTACAGTCTGTGGTGTTGTGGGAGTGTTATTACAGTATGTTGTGGGTATGTTATACAGTCTGTGGTGGTGTTGGGCATTACACAGGTACTGTCAGTCACTTACTGAAGTCAACATGGTTCAAAGCTTTGTGGATGTTGGCAGCGTCTGTGAAGATGTTATTGTCTACCGTGACTACTGTAGGCATGGTAAACAAACCATAATCTGACCCATACACTACCATAGCATATCTGTAATAAGAATAGAATACAAATAAAAATAAATGTAAATATAATAGTAATAATAATAGTAATTACAGTAATAGTATAGGACTGATGCAGTAATAATAACTACAATACACAGTGCTTCAATAATAACAGTAATAATAAAAATAACAGAAAATGTAGAGTAGATGCCTAATTCTCTACTTCAAAATATTTAGGACCACTATTATATTATCCACAACAGCTTAAAGTGTAAAGTACTAGAGAGCATTATAAGAGATGCCATGATGGAACATCTAATAGGAAACAGCCTTATAAAGGACTGCCAACAAGGTTTTATGCCAGGACTCTCCTGCTTAACACAATTACTGTACTCAAGGTACTGGATGTTTGGACCCAAATTCTGAAACAGGGCAGCAATTTCGACAATATATACCTAGATTTTGCCAAGGCTTTCGACAACGTACCCCAGGAAAGGCTGAAAATTAAACTGGAAGGGTACGGGATTCGGGGAAGTGTCCTAGAATTGATTGATAAAAATAATAATAATAATAATTAACGGTTTTTTGAAAGAGCATAGCAGCCAGAAGGCTGAAAATATACAGTTACATAATTGGGGAATGGGTTTCGATTTACAAATAATATACAAGTAACATAAGTGATACAAATAAGATATATAATAACTAGATGGGGAAGAGCTCAAACTACAGGGCATTTCAACATAGTGACAGCGCAAGAAGTAGGATTTACTGGGAGTGAATACACTGGTTTATTACAAGTTATTGATAATTTTTACAATGGTTGGGACTGGGATGTTCTTATAGCGATCAGTTCGTGCACGTATGGGCTGGATGCGGTTGTGGTGTCGAACAGCAATTCTCGGGCTAGGGATCTCAGGTGGTAGTAGGAGCCGGTGTCGAGGATGGTGCAGAAGCTTCTTACCAAATTTGCAGATGAGGTCGTGGTGATGGTCAGTGAGAGTCGAAAGGGTCAGTGTATTGAGCGTTTCTTGATATGTGGAGTAGGAAGGGGAGAGAATAATCTTGCATGCCCTCTTTTGCACATTTTCTAGGTGTTTACGTTGTGTGGCATTTAGGGAGGAAGACCAGGTAGGGGAGGCATAGGTGAGTTTGGGAAGTATGAATGTTGAGTAAACACCGAGGAACTCAGGTGCAGGAACTCCGAGGGACTTGAGTCGGCGGAGGAGGTGGAGACGGAAACTGGAGGATTTGACAACTTCACTGACGTGTGATATCTACATGACTGCAAGCAGTGTGTGGTGATTAATGGTACAAAAATATCACATGTACCCGTCACAAGCGGGGTACGTACCACAGGGCAGTGTATTGGGCCTGCTGTTTTTTCATTAATGACATGCCGGAAGCTACACACTTCTCCATACACATGTTTGCAGACAATGCTAAGTTATTAATGAAAATTAGGAACCAAACAATCTGTGAAGACGTGCAGAAAGATATCAGTGAATTTCAAGAGTGGTTCGAACAAATGGCTGCGAAGATTTAATGTCACGAAGTGCTAAGAGAATGCACCAACGGTAAGGAGGAGTATCTTATGTCCCAGCGGGGTGGAGAAACTACATTAACAGAGACTGAATGGGAAAAAGACCTGGGTGTGTATGTTGACAATGAACTGAAGTTCTTGGGCCATTGTGAGAAGGTGTATCAAGCAACTAAACTAGTAGGTCTTATAAGGTCATTCAGATAACTGTCCCTTGTAATGATCTTCAAAGGTGAGGTGCTTCCCTGCCTGAAGTTCTGTCATCCCATCTGGTCCCTGAGATATGCAAGGGACTGTCAGTTGATTGAAAATGTCCAAAGGAGGGCCACCAGACTGGTGCCTGCGCTTGGGCACCTCAGTTATCCAGAGATTTTAGAGCACCTGCATCTGCCTAGCATATACTACAGACGAGCAAGAGGTGACCTAATTGAGGTGTAAAAACTTCTCAAAGGACACTATTCAGTCAAGTGTCCATACCTGGAGCTGGAGTACATCCGCCCCACAAGGGGTCACAGCTCAAAGTTGAAGAAGCCACAAGTCCAGAAAACTGTGAGGGCAAACTTTTTTTGGAGTAAGAATTTGTGAACTCTTGGAACAATCTGCCAGAGAGTATTGTGACGGCACCGAGTGTGAGCTATTTCAAGACCTGAATTGACCAACATTGGAAGAGGTTCAGGTACATTCAGGAGCCGGTGCATGCCCAGTACTTGCCAACAGTGCGTAACAGAGACGTGACTGACCGCCCAAGCATCTAACGAGCCGATCAGTGGTGAAGAAGATAGAAGTAAGAAAGCAAAAGTAAGTTATCACAATTATCCACACTTCACCTACTACAGGACCAGAATCTGTTGATACTTCTGTACTAAAAACACCATATATTGATGCATAAATAAGAACTTCATTGAATTCTGTTAAATATAGAGCAACAATACAAAGTAAGAAAAGGGAATGCACTGTTATAAGAGTAGTGCAATGAACCAACCTATTAAGGCTGCTATTGTGCTTATTGTACAGGCATACTCCATTGAGATATTTGCTAAACAGGATGTTGATCTCCTAGTTTTCATTATAACCTTCACTGGCCAGTGTTAGTACAGGAGGAAACCTGAGTACCCGGAGAAAATTTGCTATGTTTGGTAGGGTCTCACTGGATAACACACCCTTCTCACACCTGACCTAGGCTGGGAATTGAACACAGGACACAATGGTGAGTGCCAAGTGTGCTACTGCTGTACCACCAACAACTTTTACCATAAACTACATTTTTAAAACAATTTGGTAGTGATATAAAAAAAAACTAAAGATCAGAAACCTATCTCAAGTATAGCAACTGGCTTGTGTTGATGAGCTCTGAGGAATCATTCATTTTGTTTTTACTGGTGACTATGTGAACCTTTATCTGACCTTCAACAGCCCTCTTGTCATCTTATGGTTAATGTTTTAGCAAGAAATACAGAGAAATATGGTTTGTACTACTCTAACCTATACCAGCCAGTGTTGCATCTTAACGTATTTGTCACCAAAGTGGGTAGAATCAGTGAACTAAAAGTGGATCAACATTACCACAACACCATATTGCTGTATTACCTTACGAGACGTAGATCATTGGCCTCCAGCTCCTCATTCATGCGGGTAATGAAAGTGTGGAAGCGGTTAAGTGGTTTTTTCTGGGCGAGGATCGTGTTGCAGGATCTAGCCTCTACCAGAATGACCACATCAGTAGACATGAGGATCTCCTCCTGTTCCAACACTACTGATGTGCCTTCCTCTAATGTCCTTGTCTCTCCATCGTTGGTCATGTACTCACATCTGTGGGAGAGTAAGAATGAGAGAGAGTAAGAGTAAGACTGAGAGAGAGTAAGAGTAAGACTGAGAGAGAGTAAGAGTAAGACTGAGACAGAAAGAGGAAGACAGTGACAGCCTTTACCAAGAACATGATATATGACCCAAGAGCCAAATAGTGAGATAGGACTTCCAGAAACGTCATTGATGTAATTTCTGGAGCGTACTCATCCTCACATCTGTGCATTGGAGCGAGATAGACAGAAAATGATGGAGAGAGAGAGAGAGAGAGAATATTTCAGGTTGGTGATGACTGCTATGTTCTATACAAAAACTACTACAGTGAATTAAGGTCCATAAAAAAACTGGTACCTCTCAGAAAATGAACGAGTCAGTCATAACAAAGAGTAACTTACTGGACACAGAAGACTGGTATTTTGGTGGGGATGTTGTTGTTGGAACAAGCCTCCATATAGGCAGTAGCAGCAGTACAAGTATCCAGTTCTCGTCCACGGTAGTCCACCAGACACATGTGGAGGTATGGTGTTGGATCAATCTACAGCACAATCAAAGAAGAAAATCAGAATTAAAAAAAGTCAGATGTACAGTACACATACATACAGATCTTGGTAATAGTAATTATTGGGTGAAGGTGCAGTACTGAGACTGTGTACTGCCATCACAGACAACCAGGATCCAATGAAACAATATTGATTCTAAATTACATGTACAGAATCAGGTATCACGTACGGGCACGGCATTTCCTAGATGAAAAATCAATACTGTAATATGTAATTTTATTGACCAAATCAGAAAAAACCCTGAGACAATCATCCCTTACACTGTATCTTTAACTATAGAATATTTTATACAGTAGAGGTAAAACTTCTTTATTTCAGAGTACAGTACTGTATAGCACACACCCAGTACTTATGCTTAACCTTGAGCTGTACATCACAGAAATTAAATATGTCTCCCCAAACCCCTTATTTCCTTGTCAACTGCAGTAGAATTCTAGAATGTAACCCCTGGAGTTGGTGAGAGATTACTCAAATTGTCACATTTTCAGATACATACAATACAATGGTGTGTACTGCTTGATAAATATGTGCACCAGCCTCCAGAGGTCAGCCACGTCATTTGTTTGTTTGTTATTGTTTGTTTTGTTATATAATATAGTACAGTAATCATAAAAGTTAATGTTTAATCTCATAAATGATAGTTCATTTTAATGGGAGAAAAAATCACTACCATTTAATAGACAAAAGTGTTTAAAACACCAATAAGAAAGACAAAATCAATAAGCTGGACAATACCGTATCCTCTACACTGTTTGGTCATGTCTCTTATGCATTGTCGGCAAGTACTGTATTGGGTACAGGATGTTTATGCTCTAAAATGAGCTCACATTTGGTGGCATCACAACATTCTCTGGCAAATTATTCTTAGAGTTCACAACTGTCACTCTAAAGAAGTTAGCTCTAACACTTTCTGTACTTGAGGCTGTGACCTCTAGTAGGGAGAACATACACAACCTCTAAAAAAGTTTGTCCTCACAGTTTTCTGCACTTGTGGCTTACCTTCATCTTTGAGCTTTGACCCCTTGTGGGGGTTGAACCTCACATAAAGGGCCGTGAGAACTTGCTCTATCATGCCTTCATACTCGGAGGTGCTCACCATCAGGGCCACAACTTTCATGCACCTTGAGTTTTCACTAATTATTTCTAGTATATTCTTCTGAGAACTCTATAAACCTTAGTGATGTCTGTCCTCAACCCTACAGTAAGTAGGTTATTTGTATTCTCTCTTGTAACACCGAGGAAAAAGATTTCGTCAAGACCTTTGCTTTCTCCTGGTCCGAGTCTGCAAAACTTACATCTTCAAGTGTCACATCTGATACACCCAGACTTGACCTAACACGAGAAGTTTTATGTCCTGTTTGGTACCTAGAAGAAAAAACTTCAAATATATTGGAATGAAAGTGTTAGACTTACCTGGAAGAAGCAGTGTTTAAAGGGCGAGCTCTTAGACTGGAAAAGTCTGGTACAAACTTCAATGGGCACTTTAGACTGTCCTCTGGCAATGTTACCACGAGACTGACACTGCCTGTGGCTGATGTCCCAGGCATTAGCAAGTACTGCCCCTACATCAGTCTGGGAGCCATCAGGAAGCTGTAAGTCATCAGATGGTTCATTGTTGTAAACCCCTAAGAGGCCTCCGGTCTTGTTGAACGAATAACCTGGAAAGCAAAGCCATTGGTTGATGTAAAAACCCTAAATGCAGATATCTTAGTAAAACCATTAATGTGATTTGCAGAGGTTATTTCAAAAGACAAACTGGAGTGCAGAAGAATGAAATGTTCTGAAGAAGAAATCCAAGTTAATGAGATTGTTAATATAACCTGAATAAACAAAATTAAGATGGACACTTAAGCAAGAGGCAACTTTGATTGAAGAGTAAAAGCAGACAACACCAGTTATTTCAAATATTTTTTTTCCCATTTCCAATTCAAGGGACAGTGACGTATGATCAGAGCAGGTCATGTAACAAATTGGGGCTCTCCAGGATTGTGGAAAAAGTAAACACAAGGAGCATCTAGACTATAACAAACATATTTTTGTGTATGAAGTCCCTGAGAATCAATCTGAATTAAACATGTATGTGCAGTACAGTACTGTAATATGAAAATATTCATTCATAACACTTAGGGCACTTTAACATGGCAAAAATTGCTGTTTTAAATCATGATTTTTAATTCAGTTTTAAATCATTTGCTTTAAATCCTGCCATCCCTGCCTGTTAATACTACAGCTCACCATATAGCGATACTGAGAGAACATCATGAGCCAGGTTCCAGGTGACGGAGAAGTCCTGAGATTTCACGTATATCTTGTTGAGCCACCTGTGGACCTGAGCCGAGGGCAGTCCTGCTGGTAGCTCTGTGGGCTGGCCATCTATAGTGACCTGCAGTGATACAGTGATGAGACACCAAGGAAGATGATACAGACACACAGTTATGACACTACATGTAAAAAGTATCTTTTGTTTGTCACCAGCAGGAAAGACATTGGTATTGGCATTACTATACAATACTCTCACTTATATACATCACAACTACATTCTGTTAAGGCTTGCTACCATACCTACACGTATTAGGTTATTACACAAGAGGTGGCTGAGGCTTGGTAGTAAAGTACCAGTTGACCTTCAAATCTCATGACCTTTCAACCTCAAGTATGGATCATCAACCTTAACCATGGCCCTTCTACCTCAACCTTAACCATGGCCCTTCTACCTTTACCAAGGCCTTTCAACCTCAGTCATGGCCCATTAACCTCAACTATGGCCCTTCAGCCTCAATCATGGCCCTTTTACCTTTACCATGGCCCTTTTACCTTTACCATGGCCCTTCTACCTTAACCATTAGTTCCACATCATAAATAATAAATTGTTTGTAGAATGTCTATGAATGAATACACAACCTTTACTGTATTCCATAATTCTGGTTAACGATTCTGCCTACCAGATGCCCTCCACACACTTGATACCCTTCAGGTTATTATAATACAGTACAGTATTGCACCATGTTGTTAGGACACGCAATGGCCCACCTTATCTTTCCTCCACCCAAATACTGTTTATCAAGCATTGCTGTAGCTAAGTGGCTACCGTAAGTCACATAATAGATGTTATGTTAGGTATTAAAAAAATCCTCCAAATATTTTCCTTCACAGCTGCAAGAACACTTAACGGTATAGCCAAACCCAGCGTGGTTAATATACAGTATTTGTCTTTCCTCTGAAAATATATGAGGTTGGTATCCCTAGGGTGACAATATGTCTCGATACTTCAAACAAGAGAGCTAAAAATCTTACAAATATAAATACCTAAACCCAAAGTTTCTAGAAGCCGTTGCAAGACATCCACATAACAAGTAGAAAAAATAATAATTTCTCACGGTGAACTGTGAACTTTCAAGAATAACTTAACAATTACTAAGCAAACAATGACGTTATACCTGACTGCAAAGTCCTGAATGTATGTCGTAAAGCCACAAACCCACCAGCTCTAGCATCAAGTATACTGCAATAAGATCTGAAGGAGATCTGGATATATTCTTAAGGGTAACTATACTCAACACAAACTCACCCTAAAGTCAGTTGCCAGTTCTATCTCGCTGCCATCGACGTAGATAATTATGGTGCGGGAGGAGTGAATGTGATAGTTAACAGCCACGGCCCACTGAGCCCACACCATATCAGCCACCAGTAGGTGTTGACAACGTCCTTTGAACTCCACGTGGCGGCCATCAAAGGTCATGAAGTGTTGCTCTCCAATCATGTAACCGATGGCTGTTGGGGAGAGAAGACCAGCTGTCGTTGTACCATCAATGATTCCGTTAATAGATGTACTGTACAGTTAAGTCACTAGGTACGTGAGTGAGTGAATGAATGCATCTGTTCACACCAGCAAGGAACTCAGTGAAACCTAAGAATTGAAGAAGATAAAACAGAAGGAAGACTGTCAAGAACTTACACAAACTCTGATCAGTTCGCAATGACAAAATTAAAGGGAGTTAAGAGGAAAGACCACAGAAGGCAATTTTTCATGCAAGAACTTGTACTAAACTGTCAATGCTTTGGAAATATCAAGAATTACGAGGAATGACAGAAGATCAACAGTAAAACGCCCTCCATGGACACCATACTGTCAATTACTGAATATTCTTTTATTTTCATGATGTTAAAAAATATGGCACCAAATGCTAATGTTGAAGTGAGAGAAACTGGACAATAGTTTGAAGGGTTGGACTTATCATAACTCTTCTTAAATCAGAGAAAGTTGAAATATAACAAGAGAGTCTGAAGAATTTGGACAGAACTAATTACAGGTATTGAGAAAGAAGAAATGTCACAATCTAATATGTATTGTACAATGATTATGTTGACGAGGAACTGACCAGGGAAGGGAGGAATCCATGACCTGGGTCTGAAGTTGAGGTTGAGATGCTTATACCAGCTGTCAAGAATACTGGTGTTAGATGAAGAGAAAAAAGTCTGGCGAACCCACTGGATGTTCTGGTATTCAGGCAGGTCCTGTAATGATCATAACATAAAGCAATACACTAATGATGCAATTTTATTCCACAAACTGTACATGAGGTGAAGAGTACATGAACCACATAACACGCTTTATAATATGAGATGTAGACACAACAAATAATAAATTCACTTTAAATTGTATTCCCTTAAAGAATTAAACACTCGTAGTTTCATCCACTAATGACTGGAAATGTATATATCCTTGTTGTCCTGTATTATGTTAACAGTACTTCATTAATGTTATTATTCTAATGACTTGTTTCCTTTACACCTTGTACTTGAAACTGAGGACTTTATTATAGTATTGTGCAGTCCCTGGATGAGGTTGACGGGGTAAAATATTTGATATCGCAGCTTGTGTTGATGAGATCTCTTGATACACTGAATGTGTTTATGGAGTCAGTAATATATTTGTTTAGTCCCTTCATATTTTTGTTGAATAAGTTACACATCCAAAGCCTTGGTATGGGTGTCATCCTTTTCTACACCTACTGTATCTATATTCTTCACCATGTTCATTTTTACTTGTAACTCCTCTTGCAGATGTAAGGTAAATATCAAACAAACACTCAGTATGATACATTGGTACAGTAGTGCCAATAATGTCGATGGTTAGCAGGGCAGGGGGATACAAGCTCACCAGTGATATCATCAACTATAAGGTGCACTAAGGCAGAGCTCACCTTGTAGGACTACTGCGTGTTGGTTGAATATTTAGTGCCCGCTATAGTTTACTCGGTACCATTACATATAACAGACACTTATCTTTACTCCTTTTTGTCTGGAATGTTGACGGATCATCAACGAGGCAAACTACATATTCCTGGAAGTGGGTGAGGCAACCATGTCACTTTATGGCGAGAAACAGTCCTATGTGAAACTAATCGCGAATGCACGTTACAGAAAACAATAACGATATTCCCCAAGCCCAATATTAATTCCTATAGCAAATTTAATAATTATAATCCCTATATCACCTAAATCCCATATTACATAATATACCTAAACCAAATATCAAGGTTTACTGTGGCAACAATAAATTGGATAAAGGTTCGACAAGTGACCTACGCATAAACTTTAGGGATTTACTGTGCACGGAAAATTTATTCAGGTGATCCCAAGATTATTGTACTGAATATTTTTTGAGCCAAATTCAGACTTGTGACCTCACCCATCAGACTTATTATCCGTGACATCAGTTGAGGTACAGAATGACCAAGATGTGATCCTCATTAACAAAGGGTTAAGGAAGCTATTGAAAAGTTACCAAAAGACGAGAAAACCCACATCTGGTAGAATAAAGTGTTTGTGCCCCATCCTCCATGAACCAACCTATTACAGTACAGCAAATACATTTATAAAGATATTAATAAATATAAAATATACAAAAAATCCTGTACCATAAGAAAAAACAGTTATTATTCGCTATTACTAACTACAGGTACTCCTCGATTTATGACCTACTCGACTTACGACCACCCGGACATACGACCGCCGCAGTCGTATAAAATATTTTTCAAATTACGTATTTTCGAGTCCCGACGTTAGTGATCGCGCTGTGCACTGACAAAATTTTCGTTTGTAATTCCCTTTAAAATGGCTGGCAAGCGTAAAAGTGAGAGTTCTCGTGGTGCTGAGAAGAAAAAGAGACACCCATTTTAGATTTTCTATGTATTATTTTCGCCTTTTCGACTTATGACCAATTCGACTTACGACCTGGTCGTCTGTATGGAACCCCGCCGTAAGTCGTGGAGACACTGAACTCGTTTCAGAGAGGAATACGCTTTTTCTGCTATTTTCAATTGTGATATCCATTAAAAGTTTAAACTGTACAATCATTATCTATAAATTTACATGGAGTGTTAAATCCTTTATACTTGTAATACTGAATCCTTTAAACAATAATTCAATGTGGATTACACCTGTTGCATTTCCAGGGTATTTATAACCTTACAATGTTTACTAACATTAGACGTGCTTTTCCTAGGAAGTGGCCATATACAGGACAGTCCTGCACCTAACTCAAAAAGGTTATACTTTTACTTTACTTTTATCCTCTTCACCACTGATCGTCTCGTTAGCCGCTTGGGCGATCGGTCACGTCTCTGTTACGCATTGTTGGCAAGTACTGGGCATGCACCGGCTCCTGAATGTACCTGAACCTGCTCCAAGGTTGGTCAAGTTTGGTCTTGAAAAAGCTCACATTCAGTGCCGTCACAACACTTTCTGGTAGATTGTTTCAAGAGTTCACAACTCTCACTCCGAAAAAGTTTGCCCTCACAGTTTTCTGGACTTGCGGCTTCTTCAATCTTGAGCTGTGACCCTTTGTGGGGCAAGCGTCCGCCAGCTCCAAGTGAGGACACGCGACTGAGTAGTGCCCCATGAGATTCTTATACATCTCAATTAGGTCTCCCCTTGCTAGGCAAGTTCAGGAGCTCCAATCTCTCAGGGTAGCTGAGGTGCCGAAGTGCAGGCACCAGTCTAGTGGTCCTCCTTTGAACATTTTCAACCATCTGACAGTCCCTAGCATATCTCGGGGACCAGATGGGGTGACAGTACTCCAGATGGGGAAGCACTTCACTCCTGAAGATCGTCACGAGGGACGGACCGTCTAGATATCTAAACGACCTTCTAAAAGACCCAATAATTTATTTGCCTGATTTACCTTTTTCTCGCAATGGCCCGAGAACTTCAGCTCACTGTCAACATACACACTTAGGTCCTTCTCACATTCAGTCTCAAATAGTGCAGTTTCTTCATCCCGTTGGGACATATGATACGCCTCCTTACCGTTGGTACGCCCCAGGTGCATCCTCTTACACCTCATGACATTGAATCTCAGCAGCCATTTCTTCGACCATTCTTGGAGCCCACAGAGGTCCTTCTGAAGCTCTTCACAGTCCGCTTGGTTCTTAATTTCCCGAAATAACTTGGCGTCATCGGCAAACATTTGTATGGAGGAGTGTACACCATCAGGCATGTCATAGAGGATTTACACGCACTCAGAAAAATCCCTAGATAGATCAATAGGAAGACAGGACATACAAAAGTCCATAATAATATATTGTTCTCCCATGAGAAGACAGACAAACTAACCCGCCAGTTAGGTGTGTGGTCGAAGCCATGCCAATCAATGGGTAGTTTCTGGAGCAGCTCCATCACACCTTCCTCCGGGCTAAACCTGAATTTAGTCTTGGCTATGATTTTTCTGCCAAGAGGAACAAAAAATATCATTATCCAAAACAAAATAGTTGCAATTAACAAATTTTTAAAATGAATGGATTAAATCTTTATTAGAAAAAAATAATCTTACTACCAAGTAACAAAAACTATAACAAGTGATAATCAAAATATTTCCTCAAAGCAAAAAAAAAACATCATCATTTAATGTCCAGTCACAAAAGGAGTTATCACTTCTGCCCTCAAGCAGTAAATGAAGTAAATAAGAAGTTAAATTCTGGAGCGAGTGTAACAAAAATCTATTTGACCATTTCAAAAGAGACTTAGGAACCGTGCTTAAAATCTGTGTTGAGCAGAGTTCCACATGTGAGCTATGAAGAACAAGAAACATCAACAGAATTGTGTAATGTGACATCTAATTATAGTTGTTGCCAAGTTAGTAAGATCCTCTGTACCCTGTTCTATTTCATGCATTATGGTAAAAGATATTCAGCTGCACAAACTGTTGTAGGAGGATGTGAAAAAGTGTGTAAAAGATGACTTAAACAGCAATATAAATAATTACGTACTTTTGTGAAGCCTCAACGCCGGTCTGGGAGACTATAGTATAACCATGTTCAAGGAGAAACGCCATGGCATCTATTACCTGTCCCCTTATGTCCACGTACCTCACCGTCCACACCACCTGTTAGGGAAAACAACAATCTTATCAATATCTAGTCATTAATTAGTCTTTTGGTCAGGGAGAAATTTGACTGGAGTACAAGGACTTCTCTGTGTTGTTGATACGCAGGTCTTAAAGCGCAGAGCAAAGTTAGTAATACACTAGTCAAATAACATTAAAAGATTATGAGATAGAACTATGTGTGCATCTGCTGTGAACGTGGACACACCCAAGATATCTATCCTTCAGAACACACCAAGTGGCCCAGAGTCTGTACGTTGGTTTCATCAAGATCAGACCAAGGGAAATGGAGATGATAGTGGATACACACACTGAACTCTTTATAAGTATTATATAAAAGGAGATAATTACTTGAAAAACGTAGTCACATAAAATAACTGTAATTAACACTCCTCCTTGCAGCCTCTCTCTCTCTTTCTCATCACTCTTTTGCTCATCTTTTCATTTCTTTATTACACTCACCTCATTCTCACATTCCCATTACCTCTCTTCCTTATTCTCACCTTGTTGTAGGCAACGAGGATGGCTGCCCTAAGTCTCTTAACAGGCCGAAATTGCATGAGTTTCTCCCAAGCTTTCCACAGTTCATTCACCCAGTCCTCCACAAATGGTGCCACTGAGGAGAGGGAGAATGAAAATATACTACACCAGGCAAGAGGAAGAAATGAAACTTAAGATGATTAGAAAATAATAGGCACAACAAGATGGATTCTTAGGAAATGTTTATCACTGAAGAGACACAATACAGTACGTGTGCATTGATCAAACAACTGGTCCCCGACCTCTGACTTTCAGTAATGAGGTCAACAATTTTTATAATTGTTCGACATATTCATCCAATAAACATACTATTGAAACCTTTTTGCTGATATCTATTATTATTTACGATATTTACTTGTCCAAAACAGTTCATTAAAAATTAAGAAAAAAAGTGAAACTAGTCCTGCGATCAGTACAGATACCCTAAGACAAGACTAAATATTTTAGAACAATTGAGATGCTTCTTTTACTCTCTTAATATACAGCACCGGTATATTTAGAATTACTAAACTGTATTTTCTGGCACCCAGAGCACCTCACACAACAATGAACTACTGTCTTAAGGTCCAAGGGCTAGAGTCTCGAAGGTTCGTACAAAGAATACTGTATTCATATCAACACTGAACATGTCATTGGATCCCTTAAATAAATGAGTGAATCTCCCGAAATAACAGAGAGAGAGATTTAACTAACATACCTCTAGACATCAGCATTCTAAATCCACCCTTACACTTCTCCACAAACATGTTATAATATTTCTCAAGGTTCTCCCTCTTGGACTTCTCAGTAAAGTCTCGGTAGATGTCCTCCAGGTAGGTGACCATCTCCTGGATGCGACGGTAGGCGGCGGAGGACTTGATTTCTAGGCCCATCCACTGCAGCCAGTCTGTAAGAGGTAAAACTTTACATTATTACCTCTGACTTATGCCACCTTTCACTGCTCTACTGTACTCTCACCCATAACACTTCATGATCAGTATTAATGTAAGTCTTAAAGTTAACAATGGTGTGATAAGGCAGGTGTTTATGGCACTATTGTGAGGTGTCATCTTGCCCTTATTCTGGGTTCCTTTACCCAGTGTCCTTGCCTTCATCCTCGTCACTAATAAAAGCTTTGAAATAACTGAAGATAATCATAAAGTATAATCTAACAGAATTAGTAACTCAATTGACAGAAAAAAAGAATTGGTTCACACATATGATGTCTTCCTAGTCACGAGGCTCAGCGGGGACTCGCCACACCCAAGTACTGTACTGTAGAACCCACTTACTGTATATTATTGTGAGGTGATGCTATGACAGTGCTATAGATTTACAGCAGAACAGAGGAAGAGGGGTCATGACAACAACTGACCTATGAGGTTTTCAGCAATGATCCAAGCATTGGTCTCCACATCATCAAAGGTTCTCAGGATGTGGGGTTTGTAGTTCTCATACACGGCTCTCCACTTCCGTCTCAGCCACTCCCCGACCCTGTCCATGAACCCCTGTACTGCCTGACTCACTCTCCGGTACAGCTGCTTAGCAAACTGTAGTGGGGTTGAACACTCATTTAAAACATGCAATGAAACTGGACTCACAAGTAAAACCACATGAGTCAATTTCTGCAAGTGATTTATAATTAAATAATAATTCCGTGTCATGTATGGGTATTCAGTCAACACACACACACACGCACGCACATGCACGCACGCACACACACACACACACACACACACACACACACACACACACACACACAACTACAGCCGGCATACACCAAACATGCAATTCTGGATCATTCATAGGAACAGTTATTTGACCACTTGTACCTGAGATAGATATTTAGTTAATGTAGATAGATATAGAAATATTTATTCAGAGATCATCACACAAACTTATAATTGGTTAACACACACAATGTAGGTATACATTGTACCATGAACAACAAAACTATCTTCCCAGTTCTGTCTGATGATTTTTTTAAAGCTGGCAAAACATAATCAAAGATTCACCTCAACTACATATGAACAGTTAGTATACCTGACTGGGAAGTGTGATTCATCTGAGAAGAAAAGCTGTGAGCCTCTATAGAACATGAAGCATACCATAGCTTGAAACATGCCAAAGTGCTTAATGTGGCAAATTATATACTGTATTTCTCATTAGATTACTACATTTCTCAGTCAGTGACTTTGCATAGGGATGGGGAGTAAATACAACCATACAGGGAATTTGTTCAATGTCCTGATAATTACCCAAATGGTCCCCCACATGGGTGGAAATTATGTATATAGGATTACTTATTAAAAGCAAGTGTATCTATGTTAAATGTTCAGGGTACAGTACACAACCTGGGGCCCAAGACTCACCTGGTCGTGCATCTCGGCCAAGGTGGACAACACGGTCTGGATCTTTTCCTTAAGACCAGGTCCTGACGGGTCCTGTGGGAGATGTAGCAACTGGTGAATGGTGAGCTGTGAGTGACTGGCTAATGGTGAGGAACTGTGAGTGGTGAGTGACTGGCTAATAGTGAGGAACTGTGAGTGATGAGTGACTGGCTAATGGTGAGGAACTGTGAGTGATGAGTGACTGGCTAATAGTGAGGAACTGTGAGTGATGAGTGACTGGCTAATAGTGAGGAACTGTGAGTGGTTAGTGACTGGCTATTGGTGAGAAACTGTGAGTGGTGAGTGACTGGTGAGGAACTGAGTGGTGATCCAATGGTGAAGAACTGTAAGAAGACAATAGTGTGTGATGGTGGTAGACAGTGTGATGGTGGTAGACAGTGTGATGGTGGTAGACAGTGTGATGGTGGTAGACAGTGTGAAAGTGGTAGACAGTGATGGTGGTAGACAGTGATGGTTGTAGACAGTGATGGAATTAGACAGTAATGTTAGTAGACAGCGTGATGGAGATAGACAGTGACAGGTAGAAAGTGTGGTGGTGGTAGTAAACAGTGATGGAAATAGACAGTAATGGTGGTAGACAGTAATGGTGGTAGACAGTAATGATGGTAGACAGGGAGATGGTGATAGACAGCATCAAGCGGTAACTCACAGACAGCTGCTGGTAGACCGCTAGGAGTTGATTAATTAACACCTTCAGCTGGCCCTTCAGAGCTCCACCCTCCAGTCTAGTTTTCATCCTCTGAATCGCTGGGCTGTTGACCACATACAGAAAAATGAGAGAAAGAGAGGGAAATAGAGAGAGAAATAGAGAGAGAGAGAGAAAGACAAGTTACTATGAATAACATCCAATCATGTAAATAATTAAATACATAATCTGTATAACAAATATCAACGTATTAACCCAAATGTAAACAATTGCTTATACTTGTATTCTTTGTGTCATTCTATTATATCTGATGATTCACTTTTCCTTTAGCAATCGTTTTATGGTTTTATAAAAAAAATATGTACAGCTTTTTTTATTAGGGAAAGCTAAATATTCATGAATTTTATTTGTATATTAATATTTCTTCCTTATTGAAAGCTGTGAAGAATGCAGCTTACTAGCTTATTTCAGCTATTGACACTACCCTCAGATGTATTATGTAATAACATCAGAAAGGGAAGTATTTTTCTGCATGTGAATCTTCAAGAATCAAACTACTGTACAATAATAAAATACAGTACTGTACAGTGATTCTGAGTAGTATGTGTGTACTGTAATTACTCTGAAATGTGCATGAGAATGTGTGATTATATGAAGTAGTGTGTGTGTGTGTGTGTGTGTGTGTGTGTGTGTGTACTGAACACACATGTCCTCCAGGGTCTTGATGATGCTGCTGAACACAAATACGATGGACTGCTGGATCTTGAGCTCCCCGGCAGTTGAGTTGATGTTATTGTACAACAGCCAAAGGTCCTCAATAAACTCCTGAGACTCGTTCCTGTTAAAGACAAAAGATGGAATGCTAATAACTATACATTCTGGCAACATAATTCTTACAACATATTTAGGTAACATTATTAATATACACATTCAAGGAATATTATTTCACATCTAAGTAACATTATTATTATTATACTACTTATCCTGCTTTCAAGACACACACACACACCCACGCACGCACGCACGCACACAGAAGCTCCAATTACAGCTTGTAATATGGACCCCTCGGTGGAAGCTTTAATAGAAATAAAACTTACCTAAAGTCTTCCAACAGAGGTTTGGAAATTTGGGCCAGGTCATTTAGTATTGGTTGTGTACGAGCTAACGCCTCCTCACCGGCCACCACAAGCGAATTCTTCAGCCAGTCCTCTAAGCTCTGTCGCAGGTCGTATGACGCTCCCAGCATCTCGCCAATCTCATTCTTGGAACACACATGAGCACACGTTACTTTATGACATCACGGAGGTAGGTAAGTTAAGTGGTAATAGATACTGGTTATATAACAATAATAACATACAGCAAACTCTGATATACAAAGTGACAGAATTAGTCAGACAGTATAAACAGCTTACCATGATTTCCTCCTCCAACTCAGGTCGCCATATTAGACGGGACGACAGGAGCCTGGAGTGGTTGAGACGGAAGAAGAAGTAGGCGTCGGTGATCCAGTGAGACAGGAGCTGGTCCTCGTTTTCATTAAGCCAGGGAGGACTCAGGTGTTTGATGGAGAACCGTGCTTTCCTGTGGTCTTCCATGCCAACATCTACTACTACCTGTTCTGCTATGTCTGGTGAGAGGAATATAATTCACTTTGTTATTATTATTCTCCTCTCATAGCAAACGAGAAAGAGACAGGGAGATACAGCTTCTACTACCACTTATTCTAATATGACCAGTGAGAAGAATAGAGTATATATTATAATTATTATCACTCATATGTGAAAAGAGAGAAAGAAAGTCGATGTAAATGTCAGACTCTCATAAAGACCTTGAGAATAAAAATCAATTTAACATATTATTTACTAACTATGAGCAACAGTGGTTCAGCTGAAGATGATGTACCATTACAGAGTCTAAACACTAACAGGTACACAATGATAAAATACTTTAATAGTAAAACTAGAAGTATTAATTATTAAATCAAACTTTTTCATCGTTCATATTCGACCACTTACACCTGGGGAAGGATGTGTCGTAGGTAGTCTCATTAGATAAGAGGTTGTCGAAGGTGATGGTCATGACAGGATGGGAAGGATGGACCTCCAAATAGGTCATCAGAGGTTGTTCCTGGTCAGGTGTACTTGTGGTAGCAACTGTCCACCGTCCCAAATTGTCCTGCTCCACTTCCACATGGATATCAACTAACTTTCTCCAAGTCTCCAGCTTAGTAAAGAAATTCAATTCATATTGAGATAACACAGAAGATGGAAGATTCATTCAAGTTAAGAACATCTAGTAAAGTTAAAGGTTAAAATTCTCATCCATTTTACTAGGACCTCAAAAATCAATTATCCAGAAGTTTAACAAAGTCACCATCTTTGAAGAATAAAACAAAATGTAAAAAATAATTAACGCTCGGACACACTACTTTGAACGGTCGCCATCTGTTATCTTTACATGGCACGTCTTGTACTTCTATTACCTGTACATTGATAACACATAGGTTCCATATGGGTGTGGCTAGAGCTTCAGTTTATCGGGATTTCCAATTTTTTTTAGTACATCCAACACAATGATTTTCCAGTATAGCAACTTAGTATTGTATGTAGATTTAATATTCTTTCTGGCTTCGTCATTTTGTGCACCTGTACCCGTAAGTGTCCCTGTACCTGTAAATGTCCCTGTACCCGTAAGTGTCCCTGTACCCGTAAGTGTCCCTGTACCCGTAAGTGTCCCTGTACCCATAAGTGTCCCTGTACCCGTAAGTGTCCCTCTACCCGTAAGTGTCCCTGTACCCGTAAATGACCCAGTACTGTATACCTGTAATTGCCCCCTTCTCCCTGTAAGTGTACATGACCTGTTAATGAATAAAGACAATAATACAATCCATAAATATAAACTCGACCAAGAACTTACGGAGATATGAAGAGTCTTCTCCTGACGGTCGAGGGTGGTGATGACGTTAACAGTGTGGACGGCACCAGTCAAGTTCGTGTAGCGGAAATCTTGCAGCAGTCCGTATTTGCCTGACCCTAGACTAACTGTACCATTGGTCGCTACACTCAAGCTACAACGTATAAAGGTATTTTTTTAGAAACTTTTCCTCATACCAGATTACCGACCTGTATTAGCAACAGAAGATAGATGGGTTGAAAGGCACACGATAAATGAAGAGGAGAGGACATCAAGGAAGAAACAATATTGTGTGTGAGTGAAATGAAGACAGACTATAGGAAGTGTGGCTTTAGGAGAGGTTATGCTGGGTTAGGTAAAGGAGTCTTGTTGAGGGAAGAGGAAGACCATAATAAACATCAATCCTTTACAGCTATAAGAATGAATGAATTAATGAATAGTTAATTAAAGGATAAAACATGTCTACTGTATGATCTGTACTTGAGTCTTATTTTATCTCTAATAATCTCTCGCATTCTCTCTATCTCTCTCATATCTGAAGACCTAAAAAGTATGTCAGAGGTACAAATCTGCATGTAAAAGGCGAATTCCTCTCGATCAAACATAATCTAACACTGCCGAGTATAAGTGAGTGTAACAAACTAACTAACTTGGAGGCAGGGTGTTGCAAGGCCGAAGTACCAGTGAACATTATGGCACCATCATGGGTCATCGCCCTAGTTACAGCCAAGTTCATTTTCAGGTCCTTTTGAGGGTCAGGTGAGTATTGAAGCTTGATATCGGTTGCTAGAATCTCATAAGGGTTCTGACGCACTTCTCCTGCCAGCTTGATTTCCTGAAATATTGAAAAACGAAAATCTTCAGTTCTTCCTTCTTTAAAGTGTTCGTAAAAGTATATGTACGTAGGTATGAGGTAAGTGGCTGGAATATAGGTAGAAAAAGTGTCTATGTGAGTTCAAGAAAGTTAATTTGTCGAGTAGAATTTAACCCTTAAATAGTACACCATCATCAGTGTAAGTTAGCTGAAGGGACAGTGGCCATCATCAGTGTAAGTTAGCTGAAGGGATAGTGGCCATCATCAGTGTAAGTTAGCTGAAGGTGGCCATCATCAGTGGCCATCATCAGTGTAAGTTAGCTGAAGGGATAGTGGCCATCATCAGTGACCAGTGGCCTCAGTGTAAGTTAGCTGTGGATCATCAGCCTGTAGTGCCATCATCAGTGTAAGTTAGCTGCAGGGGTGGCCATCATCAGTGTAGGATTAGCTGAAGGGATAGGTGGCCATCATCAGTGTAAGTTAGCTGCAGGGACAGTGGCCATCATCAGTGTAAGTTAGCTGAAGGGATACGTGGCCATCATCAGTGTAAGTTAGCTGCAGGGACAGTGGCCATCATCAGTGTAAGTTAGCTGCAGGGACGTGGCCATCATCAGTGTAAGTTAGCTGTAGGGATAGTGGCCATCATCAGTGTAAGTTAGCTGCAGGGACAGTGGCCATCATCAGTGTAAGTTAGCTGTAGGATAGTGGCCATCATCAGTGTAAGTTGCTGCAGGGACAGTGGCCATCATCAGTGTGTTAGCTGCAGGGATCCATCATCAGTGTAAGTTAGCTGTAGGACAGTGCCATCATCAGTGTAAGGAGGGACAGTGGCCATCATCAGTGTAAGTTAGCTGAAGGTTGCCATCATCATCAGTGCAAGTTAGCTGTGGGACAGTGGCCATCATCAGTGTAAGTTAGCTGCGGGGAGTGGCCATCATCAGTGTAAGTTAGCTGTAGGGACGTGGCCATCATCAGTGTAAGTTAGCTGTAGGAGTGGCCATCATCAGTGTAAGTTAGCTGCAGGGACAGTGGCCATCATCAGTGTAAGTTAGCTGTAGGGACAGTGGCCATCATCAGTGTAAGTTAGCTGCAGGGACAGTGGCCATCATCAGTGGAAGTTAGCTGCAGGGAGGTGGCCATCATCAGTGTAAGTTAGCTGTGGGACAGTGGCCATCATCGGTGTAAGTTAGCTGCAGGGACAGTGGCCATCATCAGTGGAAGTTAGCTGGGGGACAGTGGCCATCATCAGTGTAAGTTAGCTGTAGGGATAGTGGCCATCATCAGTGTAAGTTAGCTGCAGGGTGAGTGGCCATCATCAGTGGAGTTGCTGAAGGGGGTGGCCATCATCAGTGTAAGTTAGCTGCAGGGACAGTGGCCATCATCAGTGTAAGTTAGCTGCAGGGAAGTGGCCATCATCAGTGTAAGTTAGCTGTAGGACAGTGGCCATCATCAGTGTAAGTTAGCTGCAGGGATAGTGGCCATCATCAGTGTAAGTTAGCTGCAGGGATGATGTAGTGGCCATCATCAGTGTAAGTTAGCTGTAGGAATGTTGCATCTACTGACACAGACCTTTGTCTAATGTTAAAAAAAAAGAAAATGACTGTTTACAAATTATTATTATTATTTTTTTTTTAATAAATGTGAAATCAATGAGAATTTCATTTTGAAAAGGACTGTGTTTCAGGAGATATTGAAGGTAGGTAGTAAATTGTGTTGAATGTATGGGTGAAATTAAATGTTAGGTTAGGTTAGGTTAGGTTTAACAAGCATACTATAGACAGTATATTACCCCCAAAAAAAAATTCAAGACGTAAGTCCTAATTGCAACAGAATTTCATAATTTTTGGACCTTTTATATATTTTTTATTTACTCTATTTCAGATATATGATTAAAATTTGTGCACGTATACTTCACAAAACTCTCAACCAAGAGTAAAAACAAACAGCATCTTAGTGTGGGTAGATGAATTAACAATGAATATTAGTAAGTATAAGTGTATGTGGATGAATTTACTTTTATCCTCTTCGCCACTGATCGGATCGCTAGCCGCTTTGGGCGATCGGTCACGTCTCAGTTACACACTGTTGGCAAGTACTGGGCATGCACCGGCTCCTGAATGTACCTGAACCTGCTCCAGTGTTGGTCAACTCTGGTCTTGATAGAGCTCACACTTGGTGCCGTCTCAACACTCTGACAGGTTGGTCTTCCAAAAGTTCATAATTCTCACTCCGAAAAAAAATTTTCTTGTAAGCTGTGACCCCCTGTTAGGCGAGCGTCCACCAGCTCCAGTTATGAACACTCGACTGAGTAGTGCCCCCCGAGATGTTTATACACCTCAATTAGGTCCCCCCTTGCATGTCTGTAGTATAAGCTAGGCAGCTGCAGGTGCTCTAATCTCTCAGGATAACTGAGGTGCTGAAGTGCAGGCACCAGCCTGGTGGCCCTCCTTTGGACATTTCCAATCAACTGACAGTCCCTAGTATATCTTGGGGACCAGACGGGGTGACAGTACTCCAGATGGGGAAGGACCTCACTCCTGAAGATCGTAACGAGGGATATCTGAACGACCTTCTTTTAAGACCTACTGGTTAGTTACTTGATTCACCTTCTCACAATGGCCCGAGAACTTCAGTTCATTTTCATCATACACACCCAGGTCCTTTTTGCATTCTGTCTCTATTAATGCAGTTTCTTCATCCCATTGGGACGTATGATAAGCCTCCTTGCCGCTGGTACGAGTAACGAATATCAGTATAAGTGTGTGTGAAGGAATTTTAGTGAAAGTAAGTGTGTGTAGATAACTTAAAAATGGGTAAAGGTGAGTAAAGGGTGAGTCTCACTAACCTCCTCCAATAAGGGATGAGTCAGGCTAACAAATGCTTGATGGAGATGATCTTCACCAGTGCCGGCGTCCACCCATTCTAGTCGACCAATCACCTCTTCCTCCTCACTGATAATGTAATACAGTATATGATTAGGGAGAGAAAGGGGAGCAAAGAAGAGGAGAGAGAAAAGAGAGAAAAAGATGACAGAGTAAAGAGAAAAAATGACAGAGTAAAGAGGAGAGAAAGGTGAGAAGAAAAAAGAAAAAAAGAGACCGAGACAGACAGAGAGAGAAGAGAGAGAAAAGCGAGTGGAAAAGAAAGAAAAAAGAGAGAAAAATAGGAGAGAACCAGAGAGAGAAGAGACAGACAGAGAAAGAGAAAAGGGAGTGACAGTGAGACAGAGAGAGAGAGAAGAGAGCAACAGAGTGAGAAAGAAAGAGAGGAAGAAAGAGCAAAAGGTGATGAAGAGAGAAATATATCAATATCATAAAGACAAAATAAATCTTCCATCCACCAGGGACTATGTTAAAGGAACCTCCGTCTATTTAGCAAACTATCTAGTTATCTACAGTATTTAGTTACAGACAGACAAAAGAGACAGAGGTAAAAGCTAAAAAGTATATTATCAGTATATTATTATTAAACAAAAAGTAGTAAAAATAAATAAATAATTAAATAACTCACCCGCCATTATTGCTGTCCCAATTGAACTTGATGAAGGAGGTGAGGTCCTTACTAGACCGCTTGTAGTAACCATCCAGCTTCACGGTCCTGTACGGGTGTGAGAGCTTCCCCTTCAGGGTGTGCTCTTTGTTGAAGCCCTGAGAGAGAAGAAGTTTTGTGAGATGATGGAGAACTTTTGTGTGAGTCTGAGAAAGGAGAACTTTTGTGTGAGTCTGAGAAAGGAAAACTTTTGTGAGTCTGAGAAAGGAGAACTTTTGTGTGAGTCTGAGAAAGGAGAACTTTTGTGTGAGTCTGAGAAAGGAGAACTTTTGTGAGTCTGAGAAAGGAGAACTTTTGTGTGAGTCTGAGAAAGGAGAACTTTTGTGTGAGTCTGAGAAAGGAGAACTTTTGTGTGAGTCTGAGAAAGGAGAACTTTTGTGAGTCTGAGAAAGGAGAACTTTTGTGAGTCTGATGGCTTTGTCGGTCATTTTTGGTCAAATTGCCAACTGTTTATTAGTGTTGTTTACATCTACTGCCTTAGGTACATTAATAAAAGTATATATACCTCCACAGTCTACGTACACCACTGCCTATAATACACATGCTGAAATATATACCTACATCGTCTAAATTCATGGCAAATCAAGTGTTAAATGTGTGAAGAGTTTACTGAACAAATATTATCATCATCATTATTGCTATCATCATCATCAGTACTTTTATTCTCATTATGTCTTTGAAGAGGTGAAGCAAAAACAGATCCCAAGTGAAGTTTAGGTCACATACAGTATGCTAATTCTCTCAGGTGGCAAGTGAACTTATCTAGCTTAGAAAGAGTCTCAAGAAATCCTTATCTTATTTTTAAATTTGTATCTTCGCTTAACTCAATCAATTAGGTGCAGTCTTTGATCTTCATTTATGAGGAAATCCATCATGGGAACCTTTTAGAAACAGGACCCAGGAAGACAGTGACCATAACACCCACCTTAGATACATCTCTCCAATCTATATCAAATTCAATCTTTTCATCTTGGGACCACGAGACGAGGAAGTTTGTTTTAAAGTTCCGTGGGGTCAGGTTGTAGCCGGCGGCCAGTATAACCTCTCTGTCCAACAGCTTCCCTGTAGGATCAATACAAATACTACCTTAATAAATCCTATTTTGTTTGGTAGGATCTCTCTGACATTACTAGATGTGTACTACACTAGCATCCTACTTCAATTACAGTAATAGAATATCTGTCCAAAATCTATCCTTTGAATATAACACTGATATATTATTTCCTATGACTTAAAGATTTATTGTAGGATGAGGATGAATCAGATTTTGTTTGGCCATTAGCAACCTTAAAGAATGAATGTAAATACTATACTGAGACCCCTGTTTCTTCCTGTTAAATCTAACACAAATACTATCTGACACTTTCTTCCATCGGGTAAAATGCTTCTCGTAGTATGGAAGGCAGTACAAAGAACAGTAATGTACTATATGAACATCTTATAATTTACTCGTCAGCTTGCAAGCCTTTCAAGTTGACCATCCTACCTGTTTCGAGGATACACATTATGCACTGACCAAGAATTAAAGTACAGTCACCTGCACTTATACCTGGTACAGTGGCTGGCACATTTTGAGAGATGTGGCAACTCTGTGAAATGTTTATCTAGCATCTATGGTTTGGCTAGTATTGCGAGGTTCCTTAGGACCATTCCGAGTTTTTTTATACATTGCAAAAAAACAGTTGCCAAATCTCACAAAATGTGCCAGCCACTGTACCAGGTATAAGTGCAGGTGACTGTACCTAAATTCAACACACCTTGAACCATTACAAAGTTTAACCAATGTTTATCCTATGTTTAACCTATCTCACAGCCCAACATGAAAAAAAGAATCATAAACTGTCACCTACCCTTGATCTGGAACTGCCTGCCAGACTGAGCACTATTGTGTACAAAGAAGATGGTGATTCTCCTCGATATATCATCTAAGTCATACAGATCCAGGGTCGTTACCACCTGTCAACACACACATCCTCTTAGTTCCTTCTGGTGTATTTAGTTAAACATCTTGGTAAATACTAACTCATGTGCTTGACTTTATTTCCAAGGTCTGGAATGCAGTACTATTACATATTTAATTTTACTTGTTTATTATTATTGTCATTATTATCGTTATATTAAGATGTAGCAAGTAGTAGCATTACCATCATAATTATCGCCGTCATAACAAACCTCTAACTCTGTATCAGATTTCCTGTTTGTTTCTTTGGTTGATGATATTCCAAATGGCCAAAGATCGTTGGAAAACTCGAAGGAGGTCCTCTGCTTGATGTGCCCATCAGCCAGCACCACCGTCACCCTCTCCACCTTTACCTTAAGAGCCACAGGTTGGTAGCTGGCTCCTAGCTCTACCGTCACGTCTCCAGTCACTGGGAACTGTGAGGTTTATAGTTCAAGAGGATGCAACTGTAGCTGTGTGTGTGTGCATGTAAATGGTATTACATCTATGGCTTCATTCTTTCGTCTCTCATTCTTTCTTTACCTATCTATCTACCTACCTCCCTACCTATGAATCTAATTATGTATCTGTATCTATTCATTCTATCGATTTGTCTATTTACCTAACTACGACTTGCCTATGGGACCCACTGTCACTTTTTAACAATCACTAATAAAAATGTCCCATCTATTTATTGATATTCATTATTGTACAGTTTAACCAGAATAATTGCTTAATTGGGCTCTTCCATCTATCGTATATATATCCATCTATACATCTATCACTCCTCATGCTTCTTTTCATCGGTAAATTAAAAATACATCCACTTGCCTCACTTAAGCTATGACAGTAAGGCATGTATTTAAGGCAGACTTGTTCTCTTAGCAGTCAGTTAAACCAGAACAAGCAACATGCAATAACTGTAGGTCCTTAAGAATGTTGAGCATTAGTTGTAGCTACACAGTGTCTCATAGGTTGTGACCCATAGGACTTTGTTTTCAAGTGCCTGAGTGTTACTTAAATTATAGCCATGTATTTGAATATTAAATCGACTCTTTCCTCAAGTGTTAATTTCTCTACCATCTTTATTGAATTACTACAATTCCTTTATCTGATTAAAATAATAATAATTTCCCTATGAGACAATCTTTCTACAATTTTTCTAAGGTGCACGAGCTATGAGACACACTTTAGTTTTGTTATGGTGCACAAACTATGAGACTCCCTCTATATAGTTTCAGTCAACTAACTAGATTCTAACCAAGTCAACTCTTGGAAAACTACTCCTGAATGTCAACTGTTAATATACCACACTTAAACCAGTTATCACTATGTCAGTTCTAAAATTCACTATGTCAACTCTTAAATGCTACAATGGCAACTGTTTACAATCCATATTATAATCTATTATGTAAACTGGTAAACCATATATCATATAAACCACTATGGCAATGACGTTAAAGATACAAGAACTTTTACCTTAAAACCATAGTCAATCTGGACAATTCTGTTGTTGGTAAAATCGGCCGTGATTTGGAGTGTGCCTCGGTGACCCGCTGTTAAGAAATGGTGCTTGAGGGAGGCGTGAACTGGTGTACGTCCCCAGGGTGAGGTGGCATCGTGTCTCTGCGGCCACTCGAGGTTGTATTCACCCTCGTAACCATCTTCTGTCAACTCCTGAACAACCCCAGAGAACTTTATGTAACACCCCCAGAGAACTGCATGTAACACCCCCAGAGAATTGCATGTAACACCCCCAGAGAATTGCATGTAACACCCCCAGAGAACTGCATGTAACACCCCCCCAGAGAACTGCATGTAACACCCCCAGAGAACTGCATGTAACACCCCCAGAGAATTGCATGTAACACCCCCAGAGAATTGCATGTAACACCCTAGAGAATTGCATGTAACACCCCAGAGAATTGCATAACACCAGAGAATTGCATGTAACACCCCAGAGAACTGCATGTAACACCCCCAGAGAACCCACCAGAGAATTACATGTACCCCCAGAGAAGATGTAAACCATGTAACACCCCCAGAGAATTGCATGTAACACCCCCCAGAGAACTGCATGTAACACCCCCAGAGAATTGCAAAGACAAGTTTTAGAGGCATCACAACGTCACTGCACCTTATACCCCACACCTAATAATACACACCATAATTTAAGACTTTTAAACCCCATGACATTAATGAAATCAATATATCTGTCTGTATCAATTTAAGAGAGATGACAAAGTTCCTCCATGCATTAAAGTGTCGAGATTGTCTAAAACATAAAGACATGGTAGGTGATAAAATTGATTCCTAAAGTATTGCCATGAGGTATACCCATCTAAATATATTTCATAAACATTGAAATCTTCCTCCTAACACACCAACCTGTTTAAAATCAAGTGTGATGGGCTGGTTCTCCCACATGAGGGTAGAGGTGAAGTGAATGGTACCATCACCAGCAGGGAAGCCGTGAGCCAACATGTTTCCCGTCACAGTCGTCACATCAGAGCCCGTCTCAATTGTCGATCTGTTGGGGGGGGGGGGGTTGCCTCTGTTAAATGGACTAAACCCCTATACACATCTCACTCCGAATTTTGGAGATTTGAAGGTTATGTTTCCTCTATTTGGTTATGTAAAAAGCCACATCTAACTGATCTATGTAAGTTACAACGCAATAAATCTCATATTCATTGATTAGTTTTAACCCTAACTGGTGATGTAAGAATGTATTTAACTGGTTCACTTGAGCGCAGATCAAAGTAGGTTAGGTTAGATTAGGCTTCGAAGAGACTTACGTGAACCAGTGCCTTTCATCGTGAGTCTCGTAGTGAATGTCAGCCTTGTTATTATGCCAGCCTTCCACCATGGGCAGATCGAAGGTAAAGTGACCATCCATGGAGTCCTTGTTGAACACCAGCCTGGAGTGTAACACAACCTGCTGTGGCCCCGATGATCCTCGCTCCCAGTCTAAGATCCCCGTCAGGTTAAGTTGCTGACCCTGTTTACGCATCTGCGGGTAAGAGTGAGTGATTTAAGATCCCCAACAGGTGAAGATGCTGATCTCTAAGTCACTATGTCATAAAGCCACAAAGTTAGTTTTAAGTCAATAAGTCATTCTATGTCACAAAGTCATTTTCAGCCATTCTACAGTAATTCACTACAATATTTCAGGTCAGTAAAGGTGTCTTCAGCCACTATGATATTTTATTTCATCATTATTCTAAATCATAATGTCATCTTAACTCACTAGGTCTTTTTTTACTTTTACTTTTATCCTCTTTGCCACTGATCGGCTCGTTAGCCGCTTGGGTGGTTGGTCATATCTGTTACGCACTGTTGGCAAGTATTGGACTTGTACTGGCTCCTGAATGTATCTGAACAGGCTCCAGTGTTGGTCAAGTCTGGTCTTGAAACAGCTCACACTCGATGTCATCACAACACTCTCTGGCAGATTGTTCCAAGAGTTCATAATTTTCCCTCATTTTAAGTCATTATGTCATACGTCATGGAGTCATCGTAAGTATTTAAGTAACTGAGTAAAACTGAGTTACTTTGTCACTTCTTTATATCTAAATAACTGTAATAAGGATAAATATTGTATAAAAACACTTAGTGAGAGGCAGACACCGAGAGAGAGACAGACAGAGAAACTCACCTCTCCAGTAAAACTGTATTTTGACCTTGTAAGATCAAGAGTGATGGTGGGTTTGATGACCCTGAAGTTGTCCTGATGTTCTGCTAGTGCCTTGAAGGTGATGGGGTCAAGGTGAGGCCAAACAAGGTGAAGGGTCAGCTCCCCTGGGTCAGAGGTCACCTGCATCACCTTCCCCTGTAGTACCAAGTGGCTGAGGGGAACACCATCACATTAATGCATACTGCACTTTGAAGCTTAAACAGCAAAGATACTCATACAAGATCACGCATCACTTAATACAGTACAATCACAGTCAAGATCTTACCAACAACAAAATTACTGTTCTAAAATTACTGTTAAATCAGGTTTTACTATAAATAACCTTAAAATATATGATTTTCCCTGCTTATAAAAGTCACACACCACACACACACACACACACACACACACACACACACACACCCCACACACACACACACACACACACACACCCACACCCATCCACACACACCCCTCCACACACACCCCCCCACACACACCCACACACACACCCACACACACACACACCCACCCACACACACACACACACACCCACCCACACACACACCCACACACCCCCACACACACCCACACACACACACATAAGGAGAAAGAATATGGACACTTACTCCCAGTAGTCATGATTACTCTTAAAGTCGACGCTTCCCTCAACATCAATCATGTCATGAGCCGAGTTGTTGATGAGGTTCAGCTCCACAGTGTAAGTCATGTCTGGTCCCTGTTCCTGTGCCACACTCATGGTCAGGTCTCCGTTAATCTTACCGAAGGACAAACTTCGGAAGGTCATCTCGAAGTCTCCAGAGCCAATGGCAGATTCCCAGCCAACCTTCAGGTGATATGGGAGCTGTTCTCGTCTGGGAGTAAGATATACGTCTAGTGTTAAAGGTCTTTCTTTGAGAACGCAAGCAAGGGATGCATTACCAAAGTCCTATCCTTCAAAGACTATTAAAAAATTATATTACACGATACAATATACTGACTGTTTACAACATTGATCTTCATAATGTTAAAAATTTATCATAAAAAACTCATAAAGTTACTTTTTCCTCGGGGACTGTGTTAGAAATATAATTTTTGACCCACATATGCCAAGAACCTTTGAAAATTTGAAGGAAAGAATATGTGAGGTTGTTAACAGGCTCAGTATGACATGGTAAAACCTGAGTGGAGGGGCAAATGAATACACTCTGTGCGACCCTGACGTCTTCATAACCATGACAGCTCGAAAATAAAACTTTTGAGTTCTTCTTTAGAAATAATCTTGCTTTTCACTGTATCTTTGTTTTTCCTCATAACAAATGTTTAAAATTAGGAAAAATAATTGTAAACACCCAGTACTGGTGTATAGGAAGATATAAAATAAGGTGCACAATATAAAAACTCTTCTTGTATCAATAAAAATGGAAGGAGAGAAATGAGCAACTCTTGGAAAATTGTGAAGATCAGTTACTAAAGATACAAAGATCAGTTAGAAGACACAAAGGATAGTTAATAAGTACAAAACACACAAATGTTACTGAAGACAAAAAGGATTACTGTAAGTGTTTTAAGCGACTTGTATGGCAACTCACTGAACGCTGAGGTCAAACTTGACATCTTGGAATCCCTGGTGAGGTGTAGTAAGGTGTAAAGCGGCCTTCAGTGGCCGCCTCTCCACGTTGGTAAGGCCAAGGTGTACTGTGTAGTGACCTTGTCCACCTGACTCCCTCTCAACCTGTTACACAACCAAACAACCAGGGTTGACAGTCTTTAACACCACTACTGTAGAAATAATTCTTACTATACCTGCAAATCTAACAATTAAACAACAAGAAACCTCAAACTACCAAGTGCTGACAACCCCAACAATCAGATTCCCTAAGTTATAAATCAAGCATAATTTAATAACAAATCTTACAAACTTTCTTTAAGGACAATTCCCAAAGAAAAATAATAATCTGAATTACATCCTTAGATTTAAAAGTTTGACATTAAATACAATATCACAAAAAGTTAAATACACAGCCACCTTTTCAAAGTTTAACTGAATGATAACAATCCCACTTCAAATATTTAGGACAGATGAAATTATTGTGACAAAACGAAGGCCTCCACACGTTTTCTTTATAACTTTGTAATTTATTTTTCCAATCATTATAATCATAGTAAAATTGCTAAAAGAATTATCATCAATTTAAATGATGTTAATAAGTTATTCATTATTTCTTCATACAACTTAAGATTTCTAGAGTAGAGATATTATTAGCACCAGACTGTGGACATGACCGGTGGTAAGTGTGGTCACCGGATAGTCACTACTCAAGAGGAAGAACATGACTAAGGGCACTACTACTACTGCCCCTTCCTCCCTCCCCCACTTTATCCTCCCTCAGGTGCTGCAAGAAGCTCCAGGGAGGTAGTCAGTGGTAACCCTCCATTTGTTTGTCTCGTTCATTGGTTGGATTTCCGGGCGATGTCAGGCACTTTTTGAGTTAGGAAGCAAATATTTTGACACAATAATGACAAAGTGTTCTGGTACCTTCTCCCCCTTCCCCAGTGTCTTCAGGTGTTGGGAAAGTGCACAATGTATTATATTTTTTCCATTTTTTACTTATTTTTATATTGTTTTATCTAATTTTCACATAATTATTTTGTATAATATTAATGAAACAAAATTCTGAACTATAGCTCAAGTGAAGCAACTTTTACATGCATGTTCATTATCCCGACTCCCTGAAATGACGTCATCCTTCGGCTAAATCAAAACTCTTTTAGATTTCATCCAATTTAGAGAGCAATCATAACCACTGACTAAAACAGACTGTAGGTGGTTCTTTTAGCTACAAACTAACCCATTCAGACAGGACCTGACCTCTTAGTCACATAATTGACCCAAACTGTCTTGGTCTTTGATATTTCAGCATACAAATGACTCCACAATCTCCTAAGTGGCCTCCGAGTCCCATAGTCAACTTCCTAATCCTATGCTCAACCTCACATTTCAATAATCGATTTCACATTCCCATAGCTATTTTATTCCCTAATCCAATCCCATTACAATCCTCCAAATCACATAATTAACCTTTCAATCACATAACTCGGCATACAATCCCTATAGTTTCACTCCTATCCCATAAATACCCTCCTAACTCAATTAACACACCTGACCTTTAATAATAATCAACCATTTCCTCTCACACTTGACCACAATGGATCCATCCTCACCTGCATATCTACTGTAGCTTCTAACTGTAAAGGATTCTATTCACGCAGGAACGGTATCAGTAGCATTAGCGGCAAAAATATATCATATTGAAATGTACACGGTAGTTTCCATTGGCACGGTTGCCTTAGCAGCAGCGTTAGCATTATGCGTTTACGGTACGTGTCACTTGCTCCCTGTAACGATTGAAAATGCAACGGACAAGAGAATCCTATACTGTGATGTCACTATCCCTGCGTTTGCTATCTTCACTCAGCAAAATGCCTCGAGGAAAAAAAAACAGGTTTGTCGAGAAGATTAAGAAGATAATCTCACTCAAAATATATCCCAACTTATTTTTGTAATGTTATACAATTCATTTAGGAACCTAGCATGTGTTATTCCATATCTTAACTCATTAAGCATCAATCTACATACCGGGTACGTATAGCATTTTACGAGATCCATACTTTTTGACACAACTGTTCTAAAATGAAGGTTCATGGTCTCAATAAAAGGGTCAGTGGAATACTAATTTTTTTTGTCACTTAATATTTACCTACAGTTCCTATTATTTCCTATTTATAAGCATGACTTACCTTATACATATTGTACGTCGCTGCCTTGGGCTAATGACTTCTCTGTTCCTGCAGTGTTTCACCAATCCTCCTCAATTAGGGAAAGAACATGTGCAAACTGTTGTCTACTCAGACGTAAATATTCTTTCAATTTTTCTTCACCCAAGTTTAGGTCTTTTACCAGAGTATTGTCGGCTCTATATTTGGTCTGATTCAGCAACAAGATATGAACCCACCATCTATGTTTCCTTGTCCGTTTTTCCTTTGATTTACACATGATCTTATACAAACCCAGGATGTTTAATAGCAAATCATCCTGTTCATATGAAGCTCATAGCTTCGCTGCACTAGAAGCCACCTTTCCTGTCCTGTTCCTGTTGCAGTATACTGCAAATGCATATATGGAATCCTAGCTTTATAATTGATCTTACAAATGACTAACTCCAAAGTGGCTGCATCTATACCTGCACATCCACTTCCCAGTCAGTGTCGTCGCGGTATTGCCAGAGTAGGTCACCGCGGTAAGTTCGTCCAGCTCCCTCCAAGACCAGCTGGTTCCTGAAGCCTTGTTGCTGTGGTGTTCCCTCCAGATGGATGATTGTGTGTTCTAAGTCCTTCCAGGGAGTCTTCAGAGTTCCATCCAACTGAGAAAGAGGCATGGATTACCCAAGGGTTTAAAGTATTAGAAAAAATAGAACACAAACACACAAATAAAATTTAGTGTCTTTCTAGGTCTTCAGGGATCTTTTTTAATAAATGAATATACAGTACAGGGGTCCCCAGGTTATGAACGGATTCTGTTCCTGAGGACTTTCTTAAGTAGGAAATGTACGTAAGTCGGAACACAAGCTATGTGCATACCGTACTTACAGAACACTAAAATCCCACTATATCATACCCTAAGTACTTATATACTTCTAAAATCATTTAATTTAAGAGAAAAGAAGAAATAGAATGACAAAATACAGTAAATGAAAATAAAAAATAAGTCCTGGTAAATAAAATACTGTAAATTTCAAGTTTAACCCTGTTCGTATTGGCGGGCGTTTCGTAAGTCGGGGAACCGCTGTATAATTACAGTGAACCCTCAAAGATCCGGTCTAAACGGGGACCACCTGTCGAAGAAGCCGATTGTCCTAATCTTCCGACGAAGGTACTTTCCTTATAAAAACGATAAATAAAAAACACCAAAAATACAGTACATATTATCTTGACCACTGGGGTTAGTTATACAGACTTTTTCCTGTGAAAAAGCCATAATTCTGAGCAACATTACTCTACTCACTTTGTGCTCAAAATATACTAAAGGACTAAAATATTTATCTCTGGTGCAAACTATCTGATGTTTATACTCCAATTATTTGCTATCTTGCAAGGATTCCAGCAATGCAAGTTATATTCTTCTAAGTTTAGTCTGTAACATTATATAAGATAAAAACTTTAAGCCTAAAACTACCTTCACCCTGTTTTGGGAATACAGAACTTCTTAGGGAGGCTTCTTAGCTCAGAACCCCAAAAAATTTTGTCCGAATCTTCCGAAATCCGTATTTATAGGGTCCGAATCTTCGAGGGTTCACTGTATACTATTACCTAAATGTGGAAATTTCATGTTGAAATACAAAAATATATATACTGTATAAAGAAAAACTGGAAGAAAGAGAAAATAAGAGAAATACTTAGTGTTGCAGATTCTCCCAACTGTGAGAACAACACTGTAATAGTTGAACTTCTGTATAATCAGGGGTGAACAAAATACTAAAACAGTACAAGTGACTTAAGTAAAAGTATTGTCATTTAAAAAAATTACTTGTATAAAAGTACAATTATTTTTAAACTACTTAAGTACAGAAAGGAAGAAGTAACTCCCTTTAAATCAAGTTTATGTTGAAAGATGAAATATAACCCAGACATTGGTCAGTTATGTACATTTATAGGATCAAAAGATAGAATGACAAGTTAACAGACTTCATTTTGTTTATTCATACACTATTGTCAAAATTCATATTAAGATTTAATAATACAGTAATTGATTTTCAAACTTCTTGCTATAATAACGTGGGTGCAAGATATGTCGCACTAGTTGTTATGTGCTGCGAACGGTGATGCCTAGAGTAGTGTAATCAACACTAGAAAGATGGGCGGCTGCTATGCTGCATATGACATGACATTGGGCGAGCGTGACGCATCCATACATATGTTCACCTCCTACACAAAACAATGTTCATGCCTGCTCTTCATTTTCTTTTTAAAAGTTTTATATTACATTTCCATTATTTCTGTCACATCAGAGTATTGAAATAATTTCCCCACAACATTTACAACTGTATAAAAAAAATTAAAAAAACACTTACTTCACGAATGAAATTTTGGTGGGACTTAACAGTAGCATCCAGAATGATGTCCCCGCCTTCCCACCCCAGCTTGCCCTCCAGGTGAGACTTGAGCACGTCCACAGCCGTCATACTCCACATGAAAGTCCCGTCTCTGAAAATAAGTCAAGAAAATAACTCGTAAAATTACAAACTCTTAGTGCACCTTTCAAAGACCTGTTCCTAGAAGTGCATTGCAAAATATACTATGCAAGATTTACACACACACACACCCACCCATATACCCACACACCCCCACACAACCCCATACACCCACACACACAAATATAACATAGTGTGTACCTAAATGGTTCAAATGGTGAGGAGAATGAACCCAGGTGTACCTAAATGGTTCAAATGGTGAGGAGAATGAACCCTGGTGTATCTAAATGGTTCAAATGGTGAGGAGAATGAACCCAGGTGTACCTAAATGGTTCAAATGGTGAGGAGAATGAACCGTGGTGTACCTAAATGGTTCAAATGGTGTGAAGAATGAACCCAGGTGTACCTAAATGGTTCAAATGGTGAGGAGAATGAACCCAGGTGTACCTAAATGGTTCAAATGGTGAGGAGAATGAACCCTGGTGTATCTAAATGGTTCAAATGGTGAGGAGAATGAACCCAGGTGTACCTAAATGGTTCAAATGGTGAGGAGAATGAACCGTGGTGTACCTAAATGGTTCAAATGGTGTGAAGAATGAACCCAGGTGTACCTAAATGGTTCAAATGGTGAGGAGAATGAACCCTGGTGTACCTAAATGGTTCAAATGGTGAGGAGAATGAACCCTGGTGTACCTAAATGGTTCAAATGGTGAGGAGAATGAACCCTGGAGATGCTTGGTGGTTCCTGTAACAGTCAGCTGGAAGACCTTGCCCGACGTGGTGGTCAGCTGGCCGTGGAGTTGCCCAGCCTTCTCATCCTTGGGTACCTGGTACTCTGCTATAAAGTCTAAGGTCTCATAACCATCAACAGGTGTCGTGATCATCACTTGCAACTTTCCATCCTCCACACTTGGGAAATTTCCTTTTATCACAAGCTGTACAAAAAATAAATAAAATAAAAGATTAACTGCAGCAAATTATAAATTTTTCTTTAAGTGTTGATGTGTTAATATTATCTTTTAAAATTACCTACATGATGCAGTTTCAGAAATGTTAGTTGATGGAAACATTAATTGTTTTGCAAAAATTAGCTGCGTGAAATCACGAGTTTGCAAATATCGGCTGATTAAAACAGATGTTGTAAAAAACAAGATAACCAAGACTTAGTCCTTAGCTGTATTAAGGCACACTCGAAAAAGATGTCCATTGGGCTGACCAAACACAGCAGAAATTAGTCTCCAGTAAGGAGTCACACGAAATAATTGTTCCCCAAAAAGCTACTAATGATACCCTCGTCAAACACCCACAATAACAGTAGTGTCTCATACAAGATGTTACTATCAAAGTGACTGAAAGTTACTCAATAAATACTTGTAGTAAGGCCTTCGGCAACATGTGAAAGCCAATGCATCTAAAAACTAGTTAAATATTGGTACCTTGGTAGGGATGGAAGATTTCGAGGATAAAGTGAGGTCCAATTTGACTTCAGGGTCCCAGAAATAGCTTCCTGAAGCCTCCAGGTGAGCATTGTTGAGGTGTTCATCCAGGGAGTTGAGAGGCAGGACAGCGATGGCTCGACCCTCAGCACCTCCAGGACGGGTCTACATGTAAGTCAACACAGGTTATTGCTCCATGTTGATTATACTGTCCTGTACAGAGTATATTGTACACCAATTACCCTTACAACTTCTCCCTCAAATAAAACCATTAAGACACAAGATGCACACACTGTTTTTGCTTCAGCTGTGAGAGAAAGCAATAAAGTGTTACTTAACCTCAAACATTTAACAGGGCACCACTTGTCATGCATATACAGTAATACAAATTTTACCTGCAGCTCGACATTGAGTCTGAGATTCTTGGTGGGGCCATACTGCATGGTGAGGTCATACTTGACGTCTACCTGGGTGGAGTTGTCACAAAGATCAAGGAAGATGGTGTGCAGGTCAGGTAGAGGTGTGTATAATTCAAGTGCTATTCTTAGGCGGGGCACCTGACCCTGCTCGTACCGTGCCCCAAGACCATACTGTAACAAACAACAATATATTACAACATATATTTCAGTATTTTACAGCACATTACAACATTCAGCAGCATGCAAAAACCTATTACTGTATTTCAATGGCCATATCAGTTAAGGACCTGAGATCATGTGTGTGTGTGTACTGTAGAATATTTCAATTTTTGTTTCATCACTTTCGCATTACTTTTCACACTTGTTCCACACTAACCTACCACATCCTCCTTTCTTGAGGTTTCTGAGAGCACAACAATGATAACAAATAAGCCAACTACAGAATATGAAGAGAGATTAAAAGGCAAATTTAGGGAGATGAAAATGTTGAGAGAGAAGGCAGGACTTAATCAGGTTATGTTTGAGTACTATAAAGTCCTGGAGAATCTGGCATTAGACTATTGGTGAAGATAAAACACACCCCACAACAATGTATATGTTAAACAGGGACCACAACCAGGAAGTAAAGATAGGAAAGCATTAAATATCTAACTAACTCAGTAAAGTCTCTGATCTTAGTAGTGATTCTAGCCTCCCTCCATTCTGAGCATCTGCCTTGTTAACTAAATTCACTGTATTTTGTGGTGTGTGGCAAGAGATGGCATTGTTTACATGGTGCTCCCCTTCTCATGGATGGGAGCAGGTGAGGGGAGGGTGTTCTGCTATCCTCTGGTTCTGTACTGGTGCATTTGACTCCACAAATTTTCCCTTGTATACAAACCATCCACGCCCGTCCCCGCTCCCTCTTCAGGAGTTTTGTGTTGTTCCCTCTGCATTGCTCTGCGATTTGGGTTTATGAATCTACCCCAAAATGCTTCGCTCCCTTTAAGTTTTTGCCTGCCGAATAACTTCCCATTTCTTATCCTCATTCGCTACTGTGATCCTCAGGGGGCCGGGATTATTCTCCTGCCTTTGTCCTACCCTCCTCACTTCATAAGGTGGAGCTGACAAGTTCAGAGCCTCATCACTATTATTCTGGAACTTCATCTTTTCGTGTGTTTTCCTACTATCAGCTTCCTCTGAATGGCTCCCAGAGACTCCAAACACTATTATATTGTTCCTGCATTTGAATCAGTCCCATTTTTTCTCCTCTCTCATCTGAGAAGGTCTATTAGTTGTCATCTTTTCAACACACTTCTGCAAAGTCCCTAGCTGCTGAAAGACTTGTTCAGATCCTGCATTACTCTCTGTCACCTTCTGCGACCATGCTGTAAACTGAGGATAGCTCCTCTCAACTACTTCCTCTATTCTATCAGCTACTTCCTCAGTCTTAGGGAGGATCTCTTTCCCAACTTGCTCTAGCTTCCTCTATTTTTGTCTCTAAGTTTCTCTTTCCCTTATGATCTGCAATAGCCTAAAAGCAGTTACAGTACTAAGCAATTCTGGTATGTTTTTATGTAATCTATGAAGACCCAGGGGTTTACCTTCAGTGAATGAAATCATCTGACATTAGCCAGAAACATATTAAGTTTTGGCCTGAGTCTCAATGGGTTTATGAGATAGACTACAATACATGTACTTAATGTAGTATATTTCTGTGAAACTCGTAATATGAATAATCCTCTTAATTTTCAATTTACGATCATCTGGACCACACCAGAGAATACGGTGTATGGCATCAGCAATGAAAGCTGTAACTGAGGAAGTTGGACCACAGAAGGTGTAAGCTGACACCTCCATAACCAACACCCTCCACACGTGACACACTTACCTTACGCTCACCCAGCTGACCGTAAATCCTGGAATGGACTCGTACTTCAGGGTCAAGACGGAAGAGGTTCCTTAACTCTCCAGTGATGACCTGCAAGGTGAGGAAGACAAGGAAGGATTAGTGAGGAAGATTGAGACGTATAAGCGAGGAAGATTGAGAAGTATGAGTGAGGATGATAAGGAAGGATTAGTGAGGAAGATTGAGAAGCATGAGTGAGAAAGATTGATAAGTATAAGTGAGGAAGATAAGGAAGGCTTAGTGAGGAAGGTTAAAATAAATTAGTTACAACACAAAATATCTCAACCACAGGAACTCACAACTATCCAGACTATACCTTTAATTAACTACTGTATATATATCTGTACAAATATAAGTACAGTGTTGCCAGAATTAAAGACCAAACACTAGAAAAAATAATGGACTGAAAAATGGATATAAGAGAATACAAAACTTAATGACTGCAATACAAAAGAAAACTTAACTCTGTAATAATACTGAAAAAATAATAAAAATAAATTCAAAATGCAGTGATACCTCAATTTAATGGACCATATGGATAGAAAGGTCCGTACCTGTCACAAGTGGGGTACCACAGGGCAGTGTATTGGGCCCGCTGTTGTTTTTGTTTGTTTCATAAATGACGTTGTACACTCCTCCATACAAATGTTTGCCGATGACGCCAAGTTATTTCGGAAAATTAAGAACCAAGCGGTCTGTGAAGAGCTGCAGAAGGACCTCTGTGGGCTCCAGGAATGGTCGAAGAAATGGCTGCTGAGATTCAATGTCACGCAGTGTAAGAGGATGCACCTGGGGCGTACCAACGGTAAGGAGGCGTATCATATGTCCCAACGAGATGAAGAAACTACACTAGTTGAGACTGAATGTGAGAAGGACCTAGGTGTGTATGTTGACAATGAGCTGAAGTTCTCGGGCCATTGCGAGAAAAAGGTAAACCAGGCAAATAAATTATTGGGTCTTATAAGAAGGTCGTTCAGGTATCTTGACGGTCCGTCCCTCGTAACGATCTTCAGGAGTGAAGTGCTTCCCCATCTGGAGTACTGTCACCCCATCTGGTCCCCGAAATATGCTAGGGACTGTCAGTTGGTTGAAAATGTTCAAAGGATTGCCACCAAACTGGTGCCTGCACTTCGGCACCTCAGCTACCCTGAGAGATTGGAGTGCCTGAACTTGCCTAGCTTATACTACAGACGGGCAAGGGGGGACCTAGTTGAGGTGTATAAGCATCTCAGGGGGCACTACTCAGTCGAGTGTCCTTACTTGGAGCTGGCGGACGCTCGCCCCACAAGGGGTCACAGCTCAAGATTGAAGAAGCCGCAAGTCCAGAAAACTGTGAGGGCAAACTTTTTCGGAGTGAGAGTTGTGAACTCTTGGAACAATCTACCAGAGAGTGTTGTGACGGCACTGAGTGTGAGCTCTTTCAAGACAAGACTTGACCAACACTGGAGCGGGTTCAGGTACATTCAGGAGCCGGTGCATGCCCAGTATTTGCCAACAGTGCGTGACAGAGACGTGACCGATCGCCCGGGCGGCTAGCGAGCCGATCAGTGGCGAAGATGATAAAAGCAATAAATAATTCTCGAGTTCTGTGACACTGACTGAAATTTAATTCAGTATAAGGGAGGCTTACCACCACCTCAACCTTAATCCTAACAGTAACTGTCAGATATTTAGCTGAAATTCTTAAAAGGAAGAGGTTATGAATCCTTAATATGTACAGTACAGTATCTTATTATATTGAGGCTGTCAGTGTAGTGTAGTGTAGTAGCTACGTTGATAATAGTAGTGTATGTGAAAATGCACTGAGGTGTTGTCTTTTCCAGAATAGGTCTGTCCTTCACAGTGGTGTAACTCTATCGGACCGGTGGTAGTCAATCTAGTTCTGCCAATCAACTGCAGTAAACAGCTCTCCGTCTCCTAGTCTCAGAAAAACCCGCCAACTTCTGACGTTATATATGACAAATATTTTCATTCAAATTTAGAGGCTTATATTCGACACTGACAGACTCAGTTCTATTAAAATATTATTTATAATGCCATTATAATATAACCTTAATGTACTGCGTATAAGCCAATTCACCAGAGTTGACAGTATGTTAGAGACACCTGTCAAAACAGGCTGATGTGAACCAAGTTTTAGTCTCACGAATAGATCAGCAAAGTAGGTAAGATTAGCACAGACAACTAACAGGGGCTATCATGTACTATAAGGTACAGTACCACCAGGGGCTACAAGTTACTACCAGACCTCACCTTGTAGCCCGGGAAGGGGGTAAGGATGGTGCAGCTCACTAGGAAGTCAGTCAGTGATGTAACTTGTCCCAACAACACAAAGCCCACATCCACTTTATCATTCCACAGGACCTTAGCTTCTGTCTGTAACAAAACACACACACAAAATCTTTTGAGAATCTTCTCTTTAATAATTATGAGAATAAATTTACATAGGGGAAAAAGAATACTAAAAATATGATAGAATAAATCAAATGATGAGTAATTATCTCCACCTTATTTCACCTGATGATTAACACACTTTTACAACCTGGGGGTTCAGTTACGTTAGTGTCAGGGTGTTTAATCATTTGATGAAATAAGTTGGAATAACTAATATTCATGTGACCAGAATTAATGTGTACTGATCATAATTGTGTCTTATGTGCTGTTATCGTTTTGAAATTGCTGCCTGTACTTGATTCTTTATATTTAATGTAATTTCGGGAATAAGGTGAAATAAAGTATAAGTGAATGATTCTCTTATCAACAGAACACAAAATGAACTAAAGACAACACAAATTTGCCTCCACGGAAATGTTGGTATTCTCATGAAAATAATGTTCAAATAACCTAACTTAAATGCCAAGATATATTGCTGGAACAGGAATTTCACAAAATAGCGAGGATATATTGTTATATACTATGAAGAAAAAGTAACAGTCTTATTTATTATCTTGAGAGAAAAGCTAAAATAATTTCTTGTTGCTATAAGGAAGAGTAAAGAAGCTTGAACATTTTAGTCATACCAGAAAGCTTTAAAATACAGTATTAGTTTTACCTAACACACAGGATCTTAATTCCCACCTTGATGACGGTGTCCTTGGAGTGGCCCAGAACAATAACAGCTTGGCGTATTTCTTCAAGAGTGGAATCTATCTGTATTCCTGCCTTGAAGTGTTGGGGCAAGGTAGCCACTTGTCCTTCTACCCGTATCTCCTGCTCTTCTGGCCACTGTACCATGATCTGTGAATATAAACAAATATGTGTATACTATATCATTAACCATATACAGTACTGTGCATTTATACAATTATGGTGTCACTGAAAACATATATTTCACTGTGTACTATAATAAATGTGGTGTGTGCTGAAGGATACCGGAGATTGAGAAAGAATTTTGCATTGTCAGAAAATCAAATAGTGAAAACAACAAATTATCAAAGTGAGCATTGTTATTTTACACGTTGAAACATGGTTCTTAGAGAATGTATAGAAACTCCTATGGGGACAGATCCTGCAACATAACTAACTTATATTTATACAGTTATGAATTTAAATGGCTAGAGAAGAAGACAAAAGAACAATATTCAATTGGAAGGAAAAATAATATGACAAGTAAATTCATTGATGATTTAGTATCTTTAACAAATGATGGTATATTGGATGAACACAAGCAACGTGCATATCCGGAGGGGAATGGGGATCACACAGGTATCTTTCACCAGTTGATTAGTTCTGTATTATTAACCCAAAATTACTGTTAGTCAAGAAGTTTTAAGTCAGTTCATTCACTCAACCATACAGTCAGTTATGCAATCAGTCAGCAAGTTAGTCAATCAACCAGTCAGTGAACGAGGCAATAAAACTCACACAATCAATTCAACCAACCAACCAAACAGTCAATTCAACCAGTCACTCAGGACTGGTTATAGACTGGGGTAACATACAGACAGTTTCTCCTCCTGTGCCTTGGGGTCATGGTACACGAGCAGGCTAGCCGTTATGATGTCCTCCTGCTGTAGTGACGTCACCACCAAGGCTGACCTCAGGTACTCCTGCCCACTGTACATTTCCCCTGTGAGATACCAAAGTATTTAATGACCTACCTGAGGAACTTTATTTACCTGAGGAACTTTAATTACCTGAGGAACTTTACTTACCCGAGGAACTTTAATTACTGTATCTACCCGAGGAGCTTTATCTACTTGAAGAACCTTAATTATCTGCCTGAGGAACTTTATTTATCTACCTAAGGAGCTTTAACTTTCTGAGGAACTTTAATTACCTACCTGAGGATCTTTAATCTACCTGAGGAGCTTTAATTATCTACCTGAGGAACTATTATACCTTAATTATCTACCTAATGAACCAAACCTTAATTTTCTCCTAACTACTGTAATTCGGTTATCAAGTTAACAATTTCAAAAGTAACTCTGCCTTAGGGGAACGAGAGCTTCTGCCCCTACTCCGACAACAGCTGCAGATATTGACTATGAGGCTACAGTCACTGAATGCCGCATAGATCTGCGGCTCAACTAACTCAACACAGATAGGATAGCTTCTTATGTATTAGGATATTTAATATTAAGGTAAATAAATGGTGGCGAAGGTGTGGCTATTGGGGGAGGCTGGAGGCCACGTTAAAAAAAAAAAAAAAAAAAGTAGTAGTAGTAGTAGTAGCAGTAGTAGTAGTAGTAGTAATAGTAGTAGTAGTCTTCGAAATACAGTCATTTTGGCTGTTATAGTTGTTTTTATTCCTAGTATTACTAATATATTACCTTGGCCATAACCATTTATTATTATCATTATTATTATCGTCATTTACATAATCTTGCAGCTAGTAACACCAACACAACATCTTACCATTAAAATGTAGTTTATAGTTGTGTCCCTCCCACTTGGTGGTGGCCTGCAGGTCAAGGGCCGCTGACCTCAACATCAGGTCAACAGCAGTAGACATCTCACGGTAGTCCTGGATGGTGGTGAGAATTTGACCAAAGACAGAGTACCTCAGTTCATCGTGGAAACTATCGTCTTTACCTTCTAGTGCTATCTCCAGGCGGTCGGTATCCCACTGTAAGATGAACGAGGTTAGTTGTTACAAGTGCTAGTAGTCAGACAAAGCTAGGTAGAGTACCTAGTTAATCCTAGCTGTGACGACTAGCTATTTGGCTATGATGATGTGGGATATATTGCATGTAAAAAATCATCAATAATATAAACATGGCCTTCTATCAGTTCCCACTACACATGGTCTTCTACCAGTTACTACTATTCGTGGCCCTCTATCAATACCTACTCCACATGGCCCTCTATCAATAACCACTCCACATGGCCCTCTATCAATAACCACTTCACATGGCCCTATATCAATACCCACTCCGCATGGCCCTCTTATCAATACCAACTTCACATGGCCCTCTTATCAATACCAACTCCACATGGCCTTCTATCAATACCAACTTCACATGGCCCTCTATCAATATCCACTACACATGGCCCTCTTATATCATTAACTCCCACTGCTGCACAAACACCAAAGACCAAATATGGAAGACAGGAAACATATACAGTACGTCTTTGCACAAACACCACCACCCATCACCTAACCTGTATATAGAAGTTGGTGTCAATAATGTTGGGTTTCTTCTCCAGCTTGACTCCCGTACTGGCGCTCACAAGGCCCTCGAAGGATGAGCTCACATCTAGTTTGCTCTCTATCATAAAGTGAGAGTCTGTGATCTGCTTCTGGGCCGAGAGCTGGAGGTCGACGAACTCCCCGTCGTGCCAGCGAGCTTTTAGAGTACTCTCTATGTGATCTGAGTTTCGTGAATATCTGTGACAGACAAACGTATAATTATGTCGCTGTAGACGTAAAACATCGGTAACTTTGGGTAAATTTATATAAAGAGGAATATTCATTAACATGAGACAAAACATAGGTAATATTAGTTAAAACATTATTACATATGCATATTTTTTTTAAAGATTTTATAAAACCAACAACTGTAACTTGATTTAAAATATTGGTAAGCAGGGGTATTTTAAACAAGCTTACACACAAACACAAAGCACTTCCCTGGATGGTAGTTCTTCCTACTGGGTTAAATTCTTTAAACACCACTCACTGATAAGGCCCAGATATTAAATGAAGGTGTATGATGATGTATCAACAGCATATATAAACACTAAATTTGATATCCAATACATAATTGATATACAGAATACATCTATGGCCATAAAAATACTTGATATAATTTGTTTAACTTACAGGCAGAACTTAAATTACCTATAGTAACTTTTCTCTTAATGCGTAAAGGGAGCACTGAAGTGATGTCAAATATGTTGTAGAAATAAGTATGTTTCGCTCTCACACACACACACACACACACACACACACACACACACACACATAACCTACCCTAACTAATGTACTCACAAACATAGAAATACCCCCAGATATTACAACCTACTTATAACCAAGAATATATACACTTCCATCCAGTCCAGTACAGAAAGGAACTAAACACCACACCAAAACTACCTAATCTAATACATACCTTATGGCCTGGTAAGTATAGCAGGGTGCAAAAGGAGCATCATCCATCGTTAAGTATAGAAACGATAAAGATGAATACTTACTTCACCTCCAGGTGGTTCTTCATCCAATGTGTGAACGGAGTAGTGATATCAATGAGACCGTAGAGCTGAGCGGTGTCACCCCTACGCAGCATTAGGGTCATGTTGGAGGTAATGCCTTGCTTGACCTGACTGGTGTCTGTCCAGCTCATGGCGCCCTCATTCTTGTGCTCCCATACCATGTCCCTCTCCACGTACTGCACTATAACACACACAACCAAGGTAATATATTTCAACAATGGAACTACAACTCTGACTAAATTATACAAAAGCATCAACAATAAAATTAATATAACAAAAATACAACACAAATACAATAAGAAAAAAACACCTAATAAATTAATAAAAACAAAAGAAAACAAATGAAACACAATAAAATACACAATTAAACCGATGTACTGTAGTGTATTACATAAACAAAGAAATACAATAAAAATGGTACAAAGATTATTACCAATAGCTATGTGTGTGTGTGTGTGTGTGTGTGTGTGTGTCCCAGGTACTTACAATGTTTATGGGTTTTCCAGTTAGCACGATACTCCTGGCCAAGGAAGAAGAGGAATCCGTCCATGGTGAAGGAGGTCTCCCTCTCGCTGGGCGTCTGGTACATCACTTTCACGTCCATCTTTTGACTGGGATCCCTGGAAGGTATCATCCCAGTAGTCACCCACCTGTTATCCTCCTAGTAGTCACCCACCTGTTATCATCCCAGTAGACACCCACCTGTTATCATCCCAGTAGACACCCACCTGTTATCATCCTAGTAGTCACCCACCTGTTATCATCCCAGTAGTCACCCACCTGTTATCATCCCAGTAGACACCCACCTGTTATCATCCCAGTAGACACCCACCTGTTATCCTCCTAGTAGTCACCCACCTGTTATCATCCCAGTAGTCACCCACCTGTTATCATCCCAGTAGACACCCACCTGTTATCATCCCAGTAGACACCCACCTGTTATCCTCCTAGTAGTCACCCACCTGTTATCATCCCAGTAGTCACCCACCTGTTATCATCCCAGTAGTCACCCACCTGTTATCATCCCAGTAGACACCCACCTGTTATCATCCCAGTAGACACCCACCTGTTATCACCCCAGTAGACACCCACCTGTTATCACCCCAGTAGACACCCACCTGTTATCATCCTAGTTGTCACCCACCTGTTATCATCCCAGTAGACACCCACCTGTTATCATCCCAGCGGAGGAGAGCTTTGAAGCCTCGCTGTCTCTGTTGCAGGATGTCCGCCGTCACGCTCATGTGAATGTCCCGGTACCTGTGTTAGTTATAAACAAGTGAGTCATGCATCACGAGTTCTTGAGCCATAAATTTACTTTTTTTTTTACTTTTTTTTACTTTTATCCTCTTCACCACTGATCGGCTCGTTAGCCGCTTGAATTAGTGAGTCAGAGATAAGTTGTATCTGTCAGTCATGAGTCAGTGAGTCACACATTACAGAAGTTACAAAAACTGTAAATTACAAAATTAAGTTTGTATTAAGTTCTTGGAGAGAACCTTCTCGTTAACTTGTATGAGGTTTAAATTTTAGTGGAGAAATTTTACAACAGATTCACTTATTTGTTTGACAGCACCAGTCTGATGGAAGGTCTCACTAAATAACTGTAGCAATAGTGGCTATGGCCGGTGTGTACAACGGCAGAGATGTTGCCAGTGTAAGCTGATGACTTAAACTTACACACTGGGACTTTCTTATTCATGGGAAACAATTGCAATCCCCAAACCCAATCAAGAAAGGCTTGGAACGAGGTAGCTGCTTCTCTCAAGAGAGGAAACTCAATGATCCTATGAGTGCAGTGAGCGTGTGGCCCAGAACATCAGACCTGTTATAGCTCACTCCCGTGTGGCTAGAATTACCGTTTGACATCTTCTCTGCAGCCGCAAAGAATTTCTTGAGCAAACATCAGTCGTCTTCTGGACAACATGGGAAGTGCTACCTAACATGAAGGGATTTCCCTTCCAAGATAATTTTAGTACAGTATATAAGTAAGCCATAACCAGAGCTCAGAACAGATGAGCTCACCCCATGCTCCAAAAACAGATACATGTCCTCAGTCCACAAATATACCAAACTTGTATTTACTTTATGGAGGTACACTGACCCCAAGAGTTATCTCCTGGTTCGCTGCCAATAATTTTAATATTTGTATTGAATTGAATTTTGCCAGAGACAACAGCTAGTTTATTGTGCACCGCATACTCATCCTGTGAGTGTTAGTACAAAAAGGATTACAGAGTAGAGGCCACAAAGGGTGTTTACCCGACCCAGTGATCATGACATTATGACATTCAGTGTTACAGAGTACAGTACAGTATATCCAGTGTACATTGTTTATTTACATAGAATTGTTATTAAGTACCAGTTGAGAAGTGTGATTATTGCTTTACTATACTGTATCAGTTATCTTTCCATCAGAGATAAAAAGTTGTGCCATTGCATACACAAAATGCTTGGATATGTTCCTAAAAGGTACCATATTTTCACAATCTAAGCCATAGCGTTGGAGTGTATCAATACTTCAGGATCTCCCATACTCGCCAGATATGAGCCCCTCCCTCGAGGGCAAAGAGTTAATGGACATAATTGAACTATATCTGTGTAAATGTAAACCATTAATAACAGTAGTGAATCCTACAATCCAAATTTACCTCGTTAATGACTTCCATGTACTCACACCTGTCTAGATGAAGCTCATTAGTGATAGAAATAAAACTTTCATGTCTAAGCAGGACTTAATAAGTGAAAGTAATGACCTTTATCTCATCAAGTGGAAGTCATCAGTGAGAGAAATGCTCTTTACCATTATAATTGTCATTCAGTAATAGTAAGGAGCCATTCTGTCCAAATCTAGCTCAAAGGGATTCTCAATCACTCTCATCCATTCATCCCAAAGAGACATGAGAGGTCATTAATGACAGATATGAATCTTAACTGTTAAAGGGGATTTATTCATCGCCATTTTATGACCTCTTTCCAGGCTTATGTGGATAAACAATGTCATATGTAAGTAATACTTAGAGATGGGTGTTGACCAAAGCAAAATACCCTCCTATCACTCACCACCACAAACCCAGTAACTAATGCACTACAAACCTGATGCCATCGCAAGAGGCAGTCCAGTGGCCTCTGGGTGACCCACCATAACAAGCTTCAGGAACACCCTTCCATGCACAACACGGCACTAATTTCACCACAGCACTATGTGCCTGATGATGAAGTAGGCTCTCAGGGCACAACTGAGTTCAGGCTCCTGCGTTATCAAGCAGAAGCACCAGGCAGTGCAACACTCACCTGGTATACTCTGTTCAGGCAAGACATTAGCCCAGAAAATGCAGCAGAGATCTGGGGAAGACACAGCCCTGGTGTCCCAGTTGCTGTTAGGTAATTCTGAAGCAGGCTGGATGTCCTTCCTATCACCAATCCACTTTCACAGACTGAGAACTGGGCATTATATGTAGGGCTTCCAAGGACCCTGTTAGCTGACAAGACTGGGTAACAACTCTCAGAGGTAATCCAAGATTTTCTGCCTACATGCAACAATGGTAATACTGTACAATACAGTGCAATATGTGCATTCAGGAGCCAGTGCATACCCAGTACTCACCAACAGTGTATAACAGAGACGTGACCGACTGCCCAAGCAGCTAACGATCCGATCAGTGGCGAAGAGGATAAAAGTAAAAAATAAATAAAAAATAAACCCCTACTTTTTGGTTCATTTGGAGCTCATTAAAGATTTTGATGCATTCTCACCTGTATAAATGGAGATCACTGGAGCAGAAAATAAACCCTACCTGTCCATATGCTGTTCATTAGAGATGATAATGAACCTTTCTGTACAACTGGATGCCATTAGGGATATTAATGAGTTTTACCAAGTTAGATCTCATCACTAACACCCAACTGGGACCCATTAGTGAGGAAAATAAACTAGATAATATCCAAATGAAGGTCAATAACAACATTAATCAATTACACCCATCAAAGTGAATCTTATTATTGGTAAGTAATGTATGACCTTATTCTATGAAGCTTATTATTAATTTTCACATTCTCTCACCTGTCCAAGTGGAGGTCATTAGTGATGGTGATGACAGAGCCAGTGTTAATCTCTGTACTGACTGTATAGAGTTGGTTAGGTAGGTGAAGCTCCAGGTTGATCATGTAACCCATGGCGTGAAGCTGGTCCTCCCCGTGTCTGTACGCTGCTCTCGCCTGATACTTACGTCCAGAATTTGTCAGGACCTGTGATGAGAAAATGTCAGTAACTAATTATAACAAAACTTTTAATACCCAAAGCAAAAATGAGAACTGTCAGTATCTAAGACGGTTAAGAAACTATGAGTATATAAAACAAAACAAGTACAGTACTTCCCAATAACGGACATCTTTTTTGCCGAAATACTGTACAGTATTTGGGAACACTGTCCGTTATTGACTAGACCCAGCATGGCAGTTGATAAAGTCCACAACATGGTGTGCCAAGCAACACACCGAGCTTACTATACATGTTTTTAACTATTAAAACACACTATTTCCTCAAGTGAGTAATGTCCTCTGAGGTTTTTACAGACTTCTATTAAGTCACCCCTTGCCCCCCTATAGCATAAGCTAGGCAGTTGCAGGTGTTCTAATCTCTTGGGCTAATGAGGTGCCATAGTGCAGGCACCATTCTGGTGGCCCTCATTTGGATGTTTTCCATCAACTGGCAGTTTCCCTAATCAAACTTGTGTAAATGTTATCTTGTTGACAAAAATTGTATTGTATACCGTATCTAAATAATTAGCTACTGCAATTTAACTTTTAATAATCTAATTTAAGTATTAAAGGAACATTTTACCATACAAATCCTACTGTCGTAGGGAGAAACTTACGTGGGTATCTAGACTCATCTGGCGGTCATTGGCATGAAACGTGGAGTTGATTCTTGTGAGGCCATAGGCGGGGAGCTTTACATCAAGGAGCAGGTTGTGGACGTTCTCTAGCCGTGAGGACAGGTCAGCATACACCCCGCTAACCTCCACCCGCCAGTTGGTCCCTGACATGGCTTCACCCTCAAACTGAGAAGAGTGTCACTTGTCTTAGTCAGAATTACCAGTGGAAGTACAGGTTTAGATGTGGTGCTGGTAACAGGAAGATGATGATGATGATGATGATGATGATGATGATGATGATGATGATAATAATAACTAAGTACAGTAGTAATAATAAGATGATACATGAAAGGTTTAGTAACTTATATGTAGTAATGGCATCAACAAAACAGATTCTGGGGTAACGATCTATTACATTATAACGTCACAAAAATATTGGGAATACAAGTGAACCTTTAAGTACTCTAGTTGTCATTTAGTATTACAGAGTCGAGTGCCACCAACCAACACTTGTATCCACCAACCAACACTTGCATCTATCAACCAACACTTGTATCCATCAACCAACACTTGTATCCATCAACCAACACTTGTATCCATCAATCAACACTTGTATCCATCAACAAACACTTGCATCTATCAACCAACACTTTTATCCATCAACCAACACTTGCATCCATCAATCAACACTTGCATCCATCAATCAACACTTGTATCCATCAATGAACACAGTGAGAAAGAAATAGTGTAACATCTTTGAAGGTAAGCTTGGTTTATACTCTGCAAAACATCGAGTTACTCACTTTGTAAATCTTGCTTCTCCTTTCTTTCACTTGGCCTCTGACCTCCCAGTGGATTCCATCTGGCACCTTCAGGAACCAGAAACCTTGTGTATCCAGAAACCCTGATAATTCATTCTTCATGTGGAGGCGAGACTCGACTTGCTTATCTGTAGAAGACGAAATGTTTGTGAGTCATGACACCACTGCTACCATGTATCACCAGTCTGTTCCCTTGATTAAATAATCGTACTGTTTATCTCTCTACACCTGCACTGTCTATAGGTACAGACTGTAGATTGTATACCAGCACGGTATATGTACAGTGAATATCTGCATTGTCTATACACCCTGTACATTATACAGGATGCTGAACTGCATACCTGCATTGGCTATATATGGGAAGGATGATGTCTGCCGTCAATTTCTCAGATCCACACAAAAATAATTTTAATATTAATAAATAAATATGAGTATCTACATTATGACTTTTAATCGTAATTATATATTAAATGATACGTATTCACGAGAATAAAGCATACACATTAATATGATCCTTCACCTAAACTGTTCACACCCGATTTTACCTCAGGAGTGTCAGGGGATGTAAGAGTATGGGATATTTCCCACAGTCTAAGTATATGCTGAACTGCATACCTGCATTGGCTATATATATATATATTGTAAACTTGTATGACTATTTTGCTAAATATCTATCTATCTATCTTACATATCTATCTATCTACTGCCAGCGTACAACAGGTCATGATAGTTTAGCTTAAGTTACATCAGGTAAAGTGTGAGAGAGCAGGTTGCTCACCTGTGGCGTACTGGACGAGGAACCCTGTGTTGAGGACGTGGTCGTCATGGAACCAATCTCCTCCAACCTTCAAGTCCAGGTTCCTGTGTCGGTGCTGTGGGCAAGAGGACGACAGCTTACTGACTGAACAAAACTCTCTCTCTCTCTCTCTCTCTCTCTCTCTCTCTCTCTCTCTCTCTCTCTCTCTCTCTCAGCACAGAGAGAGGGAGGGACGGAGGGAGAAAGAAAGAGTTTGTTTATTTACGTTCTGTATACATACTAAACGATATACCTGCATAGTTTATATACAGTATACTAAACTATGCACGTTTATTTTCTATGTACAGTCAACCAAAGATGCATCCACCCTCCCTCGCTATCATACTCACAATTTCACCTGGCCATAATTAGTGAACCAGGGCTATATGTAACGGCTGTATCACTGTCAGGATAAATATAAAAAATTCCTAAGGTAACATTTTTATTATAATGAACTATTCATCATTATTTAAGATCATGAAAAGTTTCCAAATGTTCGTATATTTGCTTAAATAATGAAGAAAAGTATATTAATGAATTGCCATCGCAACTACAACCACAGCTGACACAAGATTCTCACATCAGATTTCAAGAATATATGTTCCACATTTAGTCTTGAGTGTTTAATGGTGGAATTAATCCTTTACAATGTGAGAATTACTGTATATAATATAATTTGACGTAAGTTAGAAGGCAGATACTTTAATAAACTCAACTGACACAATAATGGCATGCAGTATCCCTTCACCAGCGCCCCACTGACCACCAAGTATTGCCAGGTAAAATTGTGAGTACTGGAGCCAGGGTGATGTGCTGTAATTGGAGCTAAGTTAATGTATCTTGTTACGTAGAATCACCGTAAGTAAATAATTGAGGTTAATTCTTAGATCTTGATTTAGCTTCGTCCCAACAACACACATTCGAGTAGTACCTTGACACTGACGGTAGAGTTCAAAGTGGTTCTCAGGTCACCCATATAGACAGTTAAGGCCTGATAGAGGTCTACTCGGTGTTGCAGGTTCTCGTAGTTCTCACCAAAGTTGACCTGTAGATCGTTCTCTACCGACCCGAAATGACGCTGTTAAGAAAGAAAGAAAGTTAACAAAACACAGCTGACTCACATAACACTTGTTTTGGTAGATATAATCCAGATATCCCTGAGACCTTCATAAGATAACGAAGATGTGTCTGAAAATTCCTTGGTAACTGTAATATATTTTGTGTGAGATTAAAAAATGCATTGGATTCGTATTTATACACTGGTTATATCTATGTGTACTGCTTAGTTATGGGCAATATTTGTGTTGATGTCATACAGAAGAAATGGTTTTATACTAAATATTCCAAACAATATTTATTCCAGGTTAACGATCCTCACAATTACATGACCTCAAGAATGTTTATACGTCTAGATATCAGAGTCACCAGTAGAGTCACCAGTAGAATCACCAGTCGTCACCAGTAAACAGTTGGAGGTAACTTTAACTCAGGAGAACTGGCCTCCACACTGTCTAACATTACCCCCAAACTTAAGCTTAAATTCTCAAAGCTCTACAGGATGATTGTTCCTTATAATTAATTTAAGATAAAACACAAATATTCAACAAAAATGACAGTAAAACCATACTAAGACACTTTCTTAACTAGGCACTCAATGAAACACCAGCTAGGAGATGAAACCCAGGCAGTGGATCTATAAGGAAAATATCGTCTGGTGTTTAGTGAAAGTAACACTAAGGCGGAATTTATTATTTGCTTTGTTTTATTTTGTTTTTGCTTCAATCTAAGTCAACCACTGAGATACATTCGCCCATATAAGCCCTTGAGAGACTGAACCTTGGCATCATTCACCTTATGGAGCCAAAGACCCTTGAAGTTGATGTTTTCGAACTGGGAGAAGTAAAACAGCCAAGTACGTTCAAACTTCATGTCGGAGTCAGAGGACAGATCTGCCTCCCGACACTCTATCCTGATGTACTCTTCTGATGCCCCGGCCTGGAAGAAAATGTTTAACACTCAGATAATGCACTTAGTACTTGGCGGATTGTGGAGTAAGACTTTTTTCAGTTCATATAAAGACAGAGTGGCCATCAACTGCTCACTCACACACACACACACACACACACACACACACACACACACACACACACACAACACAGTACCGAGGGAGTGTAGGAAATATTCAGCTTGGCTCCTCTCTCGTGGCCACTGTCCTTCAGCTCTCCCTTGATCGCCCCAGTAGAGTCGATCCATCTGTTGTTCCCCACCGGCACCTTATAATCCACCTGCATCTTCACTTCATAGTACCGACCCTCTGGCCTCTGCCGTACATCTATCACACCTGTGTAGACATATTATAGTGGTGTTGATATTTATGTTATTGTAAAGATACATAAAGAGGTTTTGTTAATGCTCAGTTTATGCAGGTGTTGAATTATTTAACATAACATTCACATGTGTATAGCTGTTGAAACACATGTTAATTTATCCACTAATGCAGGTGTTGAAATAGATATTAATGTTTAGTTTATACAGGTGCTAAAACTTGTGTTAATATTCTGCTAAGACAGGTACAGTACTGGAGGTATGAATCAACAGTAAACAAGTGAAACATCAGTTAAGCCATGATAATGATGTAAGAAAAGTACAGAGTACAAATATTTTTTACGCTTACTCTTACACCAAAAATCCAGAAGAAAACATTTTAATTAACCACTTTTTTCTAGCTCTTTACCTGACACTTTGACGATGTCTTGACCCAGGTAAGTCGCTGTGAAGATGGGAGTAAAAACGTCACTTCCCGACTTTCTGTAGGACGTAAGGCCAGTCGATAAGGTGGCAGTCTCTTGGTTGTCCAGCGACAGACTCAAGTCCAGTCGCTTGTCCAGATCCGTCCATACGTATCGACCTGACAGAGAGACAGACAGAAAGATAGAATGATTTACGTAGATGATATTCCATGGTGTAAGAATAGGCTCTTCATAATGGGATATGATATAAATAGCGTCCACTCACCCACACTGAGACCGACCACTGGCAGTATACACAATTACACATCTCGTGACTCTTCTGATTGGTCTAACTAGCAACAAGAGTTCACGATCACACGGCTGATATTTGTCACCACACACTCAAAACTCATTAGTCAGCCACAAAGACTAACAAAGAACTAGAATTACACAACGAGGCATGGAAAGGAAGACCAGAAAGGCTTTGGAATCAAGTCACATCACATTACAACCTAACATCAACGCGGCATGTTATGGACCAAAGCATCAGCAGAAATGACAATACGTGATGGAGAATCAAGGAGGAGAGAACAACTGCAGCAGAACAATCAGAGGACCCGGGAGGTGTACAAGTAGCAGTTGGTCTCATTGTCATTTACTCCTCTGAGGAAGACTGTAAGATCAAAACACATGGCAAGGGTGACGTTCACTACACCCGCTTGTGATCCCTACATTACCACACTCCCACCCGTATAGTATACACTTAACCTAACCTAACCAAACACCCGTTACATGGGTTTTAAACTATTTGATTACCCTATATATCAGCTTCAGAGTGTTTGAATACTTAATAAATTGGTTTAATATATTTTGAACAGCCTGTAATAACCTTTATAACTTCATTGCAATTATCTTCAGTCCCACCCAACTCAGATCGCCAGCACTCTCTCTCTCTCTCTCTCTCTCTCTCTCTCTCTCTCTCTCTCTCTCTCTCTCTCTCTCTCATACCTCGCGCTGACACGTTGGTAATAGGTGAGTGAAGATCCAGGAATATATTCTGCGACCTGAAGTTGATGTTGTACCGCACACTGTGTTCCCGAGATGTGGCTGTTCCAGGAGTGTTGACTGACACCAAGAACATACGATAATCCTGTAGGAACAAAACACAAAGTATTACAAATATCATACAGGCTAACTAACCCCTCACCTGCACCTAGTAACCACTTTGACTTTGTCAGTGAACAGAATATTTATCATTTAATACAAAAGTATATAACCCATTACGAATCAACTGCTTACACACCCACCCACCCACACACACCCACACAAGAAACAGGGTAAGTGTACTCACGGGCCTACGCTCCCATGTGTACCGTAACTGATAGGTGGTCAAGGTAGGGTCAGTCTTGTGTAAGGCTAATTGAAGCTGTGAGGGACCTGTTAGGGGGTAAAAAGGACTCCCTGAGACCCTGGAGGCATTAGGGTACTGTACGTTCCAGCAGAGTTTACTGCCTAGCTTATCGTGGTGTTCAGAGCAGCCGGTCAACTCCATGCGATCACTGATGACTCCTTCCATAACTTCCCGAGAACCTTCTGCTCCTGCCTCAGATGACCCATGTATCAGTACCACAGTCGACCTAGAGAGTTGTTGTCGTTGTTATTATTATTATTATTATTATTATTATTATTATTATTATTATTACTACAATATCCATTTTTTTAGTAACAACACAATGGCATTCCCTTACGTAATGTTGACAATATCAATCTTATCTCTGGGCATCTTCATGTCTAAACGGATGTTCTCTGATCCCCCGATCTCAAATCTTCCATCCAGGACGGTGGAGGAGTGGAGTGTGGCTACCAGCTGAGCCCCGGACTGTGCTGCGTGACCATCAACCAGCATTGACCCCAACACCTCCACGCCCACACTGTACCGACACAGATTTTGTCACTCACTTCAGAACACACAGTTAAAGGCAGAGAAACTTCACATTGTTTATACAGTAACTAACTCCGCTAAATATCTAGACTTAACAATACATAGGCTAACATTGATGAACTTTGGAGATTCTGTACATAAACTTATTTCATATTGTCGCTCACATAATTGATGATTTTATTAATAAACCTAAAATTTATTCTAACTTTGACACACTTGATGTTACTGAAGACATCTACACCCATTTACACTTTTTATACAGTCCAACACCTTCCTACACCCACCTACAGTACACATACCTATCTGAACCTAATGGTTGCCACCTATAGGCACCAATTTGTTTAACCATTGGCTAATCATTACCCAGGAACCCAATATGGCGACCAAATAACACCCTGGAAACCCAATTACTGCTGGGTAGACGGAGGCAGATAACATTATGAGACTTATCTATCGCGTCATATGTCCGGGGATCGAACCCAGCACCACATACTGTACTGTACATACACACATACCACCTACACTACAATCTACACACACACACACACACACACACCTAGGTTTAAGGCTGCCACTAATTCCACCATGTCCTGTGGCAAAGAAGTTGAAGACGTCAATTGAACCACTAGCATGCAGATCAAGAGCGACGCTAGCAGTCAAACTGAGGTTGAGCGGCATCCCAGCTGTAGTAGGGATGATGTAAGCTGACTCTGCCGCCAGCCAAGACTTGTGTAGGTTTATGGCCTGTGTGTGTGAAAACCAGGAATTAATTATCAGTAACGAATGAGAGTGATTCATTAAGAGTGAATAAGAGTGTATCATCAAGAGTGAATACGAACGAATCATCAGGAATGAATAAGAGTGAATAATCAAGAATGGTCATCATAATCGTCAAAAGTGTATCATTATAATTGAATAAGAGTGAATCATCAATAGAGAATCATCAGAAGTAAATATGAGTGAATCAACAAAAGTGAATGAAAATGATACATCAAGAGTGAATCATTATATTTGAATAAGTGTGAATCCTTATAATTGAACAAGAGTGAATCATCAAGATTGAACAAGAGCGAAGCAAAAAGAGTAAATAAAAGTTATTTTCGATTAATTTCTTTCTGCACAAGATAATGTAAAAGTGACAGAGATGCAGATAGGTGAGTATTAAGGGAGAGACAGATGGATGAGTATAAGGGAGAGACAGGTGAGTATAAAGGAGAGACGGATGAGTATAAGGGAGAGACAGGTGAGTATAAGGGGGAGACGGGTGAGTTTAAAGGAAAAATTAGCAGAATTCCCCCAAGACCTCCCTCACTAAGACCCTCCCCTCACTAAGACCCCCTCACTAAGACCCTCCTCTCACCAAGACCTCCCTCACTAAGACCCCCTCTCACTAAGACCCCCCTCACCTGGCCTTCGTTCAAGAGTCGTATCCTCTCAGCTGGGTCGAGTGTGTTGACTGCCTCCATGATCTTGTCCATGCCGTGTAAGTGACGGTAATAAATCTCGTTACCAAACGTCTTCATGTGTATTGACAACTGGAAACAGGACGGGGAAAAGGTGGGCTAGAATGTGAAGTTGTTATTGTCAGTGATGAAATTTCTAAGATGAATCCCGAGAGATGAGACACAATCATGAATAAACTTATTAGATTTATCCTATACCCAGAAAGAACTGATGATGATGATGATGATGATGATGATGATGATGATGATGATGATGATGGATTGATTATTATTGACGATGATAGTGATGATAACGATAACGATTCTATTGCTAGCCACAGTGATGATGATGATGATGAAGGTTGATTATGATGATGGTGACGATGACAATGAAGTATACACAGAAAGCCTTTATCCAGCAATGGACTGATAATGACTAATGATAAAGAAATACAAACACGTGTTCCCGGATATTAAGAAACAAAAGAGAGACGTGGATTACCTCAGCTTCCTTGTCGAGATAGTGACCTTGTTTCCCCGCCCTTGAGATAAGTTCCACTGCCTTGCGATTCTTGATGCTTGGTGGCGTTTCTCGATCCTGTGGGGCCCTAAAGATGCTGTCTGTGTAGCGGTCCCAGCCCTCCACCCGAGCTCCAAACTGTCCCAAAATAAATTCCGAAGTCATTGATGGATCCAGAATTTCAAGATACGAGAAGTAATAGTTTGAAGAGCTTGACGTATGGGCCATTTAAGTCAAATATTAATTAATAAATACACAGGGAGAAAGACGCTAGTGTGGCATCAGTTCCATTAACCCACGACACCAGGCTAGGTTAGGTTAGGTTTCACTCACCTCCAGTAGGTTGAGATTGTGGCCAAACAGATCAGCGGTAAAGTTGAAGGTCGCTGAACGGGGAATGTAAGAGTTCTGGGAAAAAATGATGTTTACGTCCGTCCCGCCACCTGCATCAATACACACACTTTATGTATGTATGTATGTATATATGTATGTAGCTAGCAAGTTAACTATCTATGCACTGCCTATGTATATATATATATCTATCTATTTACCTATCTTACTATCGATCTATCTCCCTAGTTACCTATCCATCTATTTATCAATCTATTTCCCTTAATATATCAACTTGACTCCATTCATACTAGGAGGAAATGGAGAAAGATAGGTAGAGATGCAAGACAAATATTGAAGGTGCCACAGTAAGGAGAATCACTTCATACTCCTAACCTAACCTAACCTAACCTAATCCTGCTTTCTTTTTAGTCATGTATGTTCAATTCAAATATTCCTAAAGCATTTCCTATTTGGTATTATCACTGTCATCATTATCAGCATAGTTATTATTTATTATCATTATTATTATCATCATCATTAACTTCAGCATCATCATTAACATGTACTCACCATTATCATTTACATGTACTCAACATCATTATTAACATGTACTCACCATCATCATTAACATGTACTCAACATCATTATTAACATGTACTCAACATCATTATTAACATGTACTCACCATCATCATTAACATGTACTCAACATCATTATTAATATGTACTCAACATCATTATTAACATGTACCCAAACATCATTATTAACATGTACCTTTACCGCATCATCATTAACATGTACTCACCATCATTACACATTGATGTACTCACCAACATTAAGCCTGTCACAGAACTCTGACCATTCAATGCTTCTGGAGAACTTCCTACATCCAACTGTGAACTTGGAGATAATATCATGGTTTGAGAGAAGTCCCTGTATCTCTGTCCTAGAAGGTAGGCCTGTCTCTTTCAGGTTTCCAGATGGGTCCACACGAACGACCCCCAGATAAACAAAGAGACACTCGACACTGTAAACAAAGAGACACTCTGACACTGCAAACAAAGAGACACTCTGACACTGTAAACAAAGAGACACTCGACACTGTAAACAAAGAGACACTACACACTGTAAACAAAGAGACAAACTTATCAGCTACATTGTTTTCATATATTTACAACCAAGGATACCAAGTTCTACAGGATATTCTTGTCCCCGAGAGCTGACGAGAGATAATTTCTACGTTTTTAGAATTATTTCAAGCATGATACTGTGCAACCACCGCGTCATTAGCTAACCCGGCGACATGACCGTGTTACTCAAGAAGCAACCCTCCAGCCAGTACACCTGTCACCTGACCAGACACACCCAGATTAGTGTGTAGGGAGTGGGCAGATACCAAACAGCGAGGTACTACTGCCTGGGAAGATATTGGAAGCATAATGTGTTGTCTAATGGTAGACCTTGCTGCCATATGGCATCACGAAAATTGTGACCAAGTCCCAGGTTGCTGATCTGACTTTCTGCTTCATTTACACACAATTGCAGGGACTCAATTGTTTCTCATACCATTGACAACACAACATACATATATTGTTTTACACCCTTGATTTTTTCTTTATGGTTCTTTATTATTATTGCTTGGGAACTTCGTGTTTTCTTCTTTCCTTGTGGTTATCAGCATATACCTAGATCACGCGCACCTACAGTGATTTACTTGCATATATATATATATATATATATATATATATATATATATATATATATATATATATATATATATATATATATATATGTATATATATATATATATATATACCTGTATTAGAGTTTTAGTCGATAAGCTAACTTACCTTGATTAACTTCCTCATAGATTAACATATGTTTAACGAGTTTGATGATCTGGAAGTCGGCACAGCGCATCAGCTCCAGATATGCAGCTATGCGGAGCTCGGAGTCCTGCGCTCTATCCATGAACATAGTTTGAAGCGGTTTTCTCGACACGTCACATGGGAATCGCCTGTGGACGAGTGTGGTGGTTGGTTAGGTGGAATATACCAAACAATTTAAACTGGGTGTCATTTAACCCTTTTCGTATGTACTGAGGGTGTATTTAAGGTGTTTTGAGGGTGTATTTAAGGTGTTTTGAGGGTGTATTTAAGGTGTATTGAGGGTGTATTTAAGGTGTTTTTAAGGTGTTTTGAGCAAGAGGTGGAAAGTAGTTGTAGTTGTGTCCTATTTGTGGGTTGTTATGACACAGGGGACACAACACAAAGCTTTTAATGATCCATTCTCTTATTAACCCGGATTTATAATAACTTTGCCTTCAAAACCTAAAATGCAAACAACCCACTTTCTTAATACTCTAATTAAAACAACTTACTCTCTTAACAACCCAATTTAAGCAAATCAGTAATGTAACAAAACAGTGCATTATTTGAACCCATTTTATTACAATCTATTACACTGATAACTCACTGTTCCAACCACCCATTGCACTAACAACTGTATATTATCATAACTATAACGGATACTATCATTACTGCTACTGTTAGTTCTACAGTATCGTCATTTATACTACAGATAGCAACGTCCGTATCTCTAATGACTGTCTTGGGTTCGAGTCCTGGCCAGGGATAGATGTGAGAAGCAAACATCACAGATTTCCTCCTGTACTAACACTGGACAATAAAGTTCACAACAAAGAACATACGAATGGCTAGTAATCTGAAAGGAGATTAAGTGATATGTAAAAAAGTCGCAGGTTCAGATATTCTGGAGTCATTACGTGCCCAGCAGTATTTGGCAACAGTGCCTAGCAGATATGACCGACCACCCAAGCGACTAAGAGACCGATCAATGGCGAAGAGGATAAATTAAAGTAAATTAAACGTGGAGGTTGGCCTCACCTGAAGGCTTGTATGGCTCCCAGCCGGATCTCATTTTCATTGATGGGGTCGAAGAGGCACCTGGCCAAGCTCTCGGGGATGTCTTGAGTCACCGCCAGGCCAGCGTTACCGATACCCTTCAGCGCCATCAGCACCTGCACCAAGTCTTGTGTTGTTATTCCACACAAATACTGCATTGGTTCTTTTGGTTGAAGTATGAATCGTATAAAAGTACACCTAAGTATCAGTAAAGTGTAGAGTAAATGGGTAGTATAAGTACACATAAGAACTGTACCACTTAAGTGTAAATACACCCAGGCAATCTTCTGAGCAGCCATAATTAAACACAAAGTAACTGATAAAAACTTCCTAATTATCTGTTTGTTGTATTAATATCCTGGACACTGTAGCATTCTATTGACCCCGTTACTCTAGGTCAATGATATAAAATCCACTTTAATATAGACTTTTAAATGTCCTCACAGACATACCCCTAAATGCCCTCACAGACATACCCCTAAATGCCCTCACAGACATACCCCTAAATGCCCTCACAGACATACCCCTAAATGCCCTCACAGACATACCCCTAAATGCCCTCACAGACATACCCCTAAATGCCCTCACAGACATACCCCTAAATGCCCTCACAGACATACCCCTAAATGCCCCTCAGACAGACATACCCCTAAATGCCCTCACAGACATACCCCTAAATGCCCTCACAGACATACCCCTAAATGCCCTCACAGACATACCCCTAAATGCCCTCACAGACATACCCCTAAATGCCCTCACAGACAGACCCCTAAATGCCCACACAGACATACCCCTAAATGCCCTCACAGACAGACCTTTAGATGCTCCCAGTCTTCACATGTTCACACCACCGTTAACACACTCACCTTGATCTTGTCTTCACTGGTGTTCTCCCTACAGCCAGAAGCCACAAATCCCTGGAGAGCAACCATCACTCGGTGCACCGGTGGAAGGTCCTTACAGCCGGGATGATCTTGGCAGTAGGAGTGTACCAGGGACCCCACCCCCAGGAAGGCGTCCGCTGGTATAGGTCCTTCAGCTTCCAGTAAAGGTGCCGCCTCTGTTATGGTGTCCAGATCTGGCCTGTGGAGGGAAAGATAAATGATATTATGTTAGGATGCAGCGGCCTAGTAGATACAATACTTTGCCTCCTGTCTAGAGAGTTGATGATTTGTGCCCGGAATACAGACAGTGAGGCTATAGTTGTGAGGGGAAGTGAAGGCAGTCAAGTAAAGTGATTCCTTACACTGTGTAGAGGCCTAGTGTGCCGTAGCTACACACCAGAAAAAAAAACAAAGTTATTTTATCACTAACTCTTGTTCTTTTAATACAACTCAAATGTATTTAGTACGATTTATGAAGTAGTTTTTATATATATTAATTCTCTAAATATGATAAGTTCCTGTTTGTTAATATTCTGTGAAGTTTAAAGAATTCTGATGACCGAAAGTGTTGCCTAAAAATATCGTTCTCTTTATTACTCAACTAATTCAGTATAAGAGAAGTTTACCACCACCTCAACCTTTCACCTACGAGTAACTGTCAGATACTTAGCTGAAATTCTTAACAGGAAGAGGTTATGAATCCTTAATATCTTGTTCACGTTAGGGCTCTGTCAGTTTGGAGTGCAGCTACGTTGACAATAGTGGTAGCGTTGGTAGACACACACACACACACACACACACACACACACACACACACACACACACACACACACACACACACACACCTGGGTATAAAGGAGAGAGAGGCAAGCCAGGTGTTGGTAATTATATCATTAACCTGGTGTTGTACCATCAGGTCCCTCATCACCCCTACACTGGCTCCCGTCCCCACCATAGGCAGGGCGTCGTCAAACATTGCTCTGAAATTGAAATATAATATTGAGAAAATTAGTACTATCATTTATATTAATTTAACACACACACCCAAAGTTACTACACCATCATCATCATCATTATCATTATTATTATTATTATTATTACCTCTCAGGTCCCCAGGTACGTTCCTCGGTGATGGCCCACAGCTGATTGAAGTCTAGGTGTCTTAGTGCCTGGACCAACTCTCTGAACAGTCTCGGGGCATTGTTGGCCACTCCTTCATTCTGTCCATATAAAAATTATTTCATTAATATACAATAAATACCAACAGCAGCGACCAAGAGCTGACCACTTGCTGTGTCACCATACTATACAACAGTTCCCTCTCATGGGTAATGGATTTCTAGTCAGTGAGGAAAGTTGGTCTTTGGGCTGACTGATGCGGACGACACGAAGGTAGTTGGGAAGGTAGCAAGTCAAGATGATGCCACCTGCATGAGCTGTTCAAATGGTCTCGAGACTAGCAAATGCTCTTTAACACGACTTAATGTAAGACTGCAAGTCGGCTACAACGACCTTATTCATAATTATTCTATTACTAACACTCTCATATGGAAACAGAGATTTGGGAATCATAAACCGTACCTTCGAATACACAGAGAGAGGAAAATACTCCCTCAACTTTATAAATCTACGTACGTCACAGTCTGGATTACTCTACTCTATACAAGCAGGAAAACCTTACCTACAGAGACTTAATACCCCTAGACAAGGTACACCACAGAGCGACTAAGATGATTCCTGAACTATGTCATCTCGATTATCCAAGTAGACTGGGGACCTTAAGACTAACAATCCATGGCATTTTTTTCACGATCTCACGCACCACCGACACGAGAGGACATAACTACAAGCTCGCCAAGTTATCATGCAGAACAAGCGTAAGGAAATACTTCTTCATGCAGAGGCTGGTAGATGTATGGAACAGTCTACTAAAACATAACTGGTCAAGGTACAATAAAGGAAATTTCTAAGCAAAAACTAAACAAATGTGATTCGGTCGAGAAATAAACAAGAGTAACACACACACACACACACACACTCGGCTATAAGACACTCACCCTCACACTATCAGCTATAACACACAGACACATACACACCCTATCACTGTCAGTTATATGACATACATACCCTCATGTTGTCAGCAATGTGGTCTAGAAGGGTGTCAGCTTGGGCCCTCCACACCTGGGCATCATCCATGTGGTCAGCAGTCAGCCCCTCGACGTGAATGTGGTTGTGGTGGTCATACTTGAGGTCAGTTCTCCCGTGGATGGCGCCTGTGTAAGTACAGCACACACCATCACTCAAACAGATACAGAAACTCATCAATACTATAGTGACTTGATCAATTATACAATGACTTGATCAATTATACAATGACTTGATCAATTATACAATGACTTGATCAATTATACAATGACTTGATCAATAATCGAGTTAAAGTATCTTGAGGTGCCTTTATATGAGTTCCCTGGCACGAGAGTTGTCATAGAATATATTAGGCTTTATTCTCGTCCTGTCAACGGCACCAATAGCAGCGTCATTAACTCGTGGTCGCTGGCTGGCGGTCTTCACTCAGACATAAGCTAGAGGCCAGTGAACTTTTTTCAGTGACTCAGGCAAGTGGTGTCGACGGTTGTAAAGAGCAGCAGCACTGTGTATTTATATATTAACGTGTACAAATTAGTTAGAAATTTATTATTATATATGTATTTTGTTCTTGCAGCATGTTTACTGATCTGGCTGGAGTAGACAGATAGTCAATAGAGATAATTATATTGTTTTTAGTGGATTATAGTACCATCTGTGACAGTAGTAATGAACATAATAAAAAAAGATGCCAGAATCAGACATTGAAGTGGGACGAGGAAGCACCGGTAGTTTAGGTTCAGCGGTAGCCTTCAGTATAAGGTGGCTCGCTCTGCTCAACAAAACATCAAACTGCGCCTTATCCAGTCTAAATAAATTCAAGTACAGTACGTCTCTGAATCTTCAATATATAATTCATTCAGAAGAGCCAGTGAAGCTTCCAGCTCTCCTCTCCTTTCAATTCACCTTGTCTTGAACTAACTAACTCCCGTCACTTATCAACAGTCACAAGCATTAGTCTTGACGAGCCATGATGAGAGTTTGCATGCTGCCACTAACACCCTGTAAACGCGCCTTTGAACACTAAGCTTCTGAAAAACTAGTTAGGTACAATGTGAGTTACTCGCTGGTAGCCCCGGAGTGTTACTAAATTTACCCGTTATTTGTAAGACAATTAACAAGAGACATACAGAGAAACACTTCACTGAAAATACACCGAACACTCACCCATCACAGCTCGTGAAAAGGATTGGGTGGAGAAGGTCAGGTTCTGGGTGACGGTGGTGACGAGGCCTCCGTGCTCTGAACTGAAGGGAGTAAAGCGGTGCTTCTCCAGACAGGAAGCTCCCAGCACCAGCCTCTCACCGATCTCCTGCACACAACTACTGCTGCTGTTCAACAAGGGGATGGTGTGAAGCCCCTGTAAGTGTTCATAAATTACTTCATCTGACAGCACGAGCTTGGTGTTAAATAATAATAATGGTAAAAGGAATAAAAACTACTCTCCCTAAAGTATCACAATGGAACCTGATACTCACCCCAACGAAGGCATAAGGAACCTGATACTCACCCCGACGAAGGCATAAGGAACCTGATACTCACCCCAATGAAGGCATAAGGAACCTGATACTCACCCCAACGAAGGCATAAGGAACCTAATACTCACCCCCAACGAAGGCATAAGGAACCTGATACTCACCCCAACCCTGATACTCACCCCGAAGGCATAAGGAACCTAATACTCACCCCAACGAAGGCATAAGGAACCTGATACTCACCCCAACGAAGGCATAAGGAACCTAATACTCACCCCAACGAAGGCATAAGGAACCTGATACTCACCCCAACGAAGGCATAAGGAACCTGATACTCACCCCAATGAAGGCATAAGGAACCTGATACTCACCCCAACGAAGGCATAAGGAACCTGATACTCACCCCAACGAAGGCATAAGGAACCTGATACTCACCCCAACGAAGGCATAAGGAACCTGATACTCACCCCAACGAAGGCATAAGGAACACCCTGGATGATGGAGGTGGTCGAGGAGCGGGAGGTACAGGTAGGGATGTTCCTGGTCTTCTGGATCAGCAGTCTGGTGCCAGCGTTACCTTGTACCTGGTAGTTCACCTCACACTCTCCCACCACGTCTGTCTGTTGAGAAGAATCCAAGTAGTTCGATTTAACTTCATTTGACAATCATCTCTCTCTCTCTCTCTCTCTCTCTCTCTCTCTCTCTATCTCTCTCTCTCTCTCTCTCATCAGAAGTTTCACCCCAAAATCATAATACAAATATTTTGAAAGGTACAGCGGGTGTATTGGTGGTATAGCTGTAGTCTCTCTCTCTACTGTGTCACAGGTTCGATGCCAGGTTACATGTGAGAAGGGTTTTGTTTAGTGTACTGAGTAACATAGTGTAACATAGAAAGAGAATATGGTGGGATATAGTATAAGGTCTATACTGTTGACCTCTAATGAACCTCTAATGACTAATGACCTGTAGTTAGTGACAAATTAATCGTGTGTGTTAGATTCTGTTGAAAGATAATGTTGACAGTATTATTTTATTGATAATAACACATAAATACATACTTATTAACACACAGACATACATACGAACACATTCACAGATACACATATACACATGCACACACAAATACTTACACATGAACTCACAAATACATACATACGAACACACAACAACATATACATTGTACAGTATTGATTGATGACACTGGGACAGAGAGAACTTATTCACACTGGTCATTATAATCTCCCGATGGGGAACTTGCGTGTACACACAGCTCACAGGAATATTAAGAACATAAGAATTCAATAAATCTGAGATATTAACAAAAACATTTACTGTGCAGTTTCATTCTCTTGAGAATTACTTAACTTACTTTACTGCTCTATAACAGACATGTTGTAATCGTCATCATTGGAACCGATTACCACATTTTTTTAAGGAATCGTAACCGACTCCAAGGCAAAAGGAATCATACTCTTGATTACAACATATTAAATATACATTGTGGAAAACAATGGTGACTGAGCTCACCAACGAAGGTGACATCTTTAATAACTCGTATCATTATAGCATAGCTGGATGATCGTCATACTCGATTCCGAGTGACAGCAAAGTAGTAGTTTTTTGTTTTAGTTTTTTTTACGGAGATTAGCCCACCTGGGCACAGGTCACTGACCTAAATCGGGGCCTAGGGGGCGAAAATGTAATAATAATAATAATAATAATAATAATAATAATAATAATAATAATAATAATAATAATAATAATAATAATAAAAATAATAATAATAATAATAATAATAATAATAATAATAATAATAATAATAAAGAAATACAAAAATGAAAAAAAATCAAGAGTGAGAGACAATATATGTATGTTATGTTGTCAAAGTAAGAGAAACAATTGAGACTTGCAATTGTGTGTAAATGAGGCAGAAAGTCAGATTAGTAACCTGGGACTTGGTCACAATTTTCGTGATGCCATATGGCAGCAGGGTCTACCATTAGACAATGCATTATGCTTCCAATATGTTCCCAGGCAGTAGTACCTCGCTGTTTGGTATCTGCCTACTACTGTACTACCTACTACCTGTGTAGTAGTGTGTGTGTGTGTGTGTGTGTCCACGTGTGTGTGTGTGTTTGTCTTTGTGTGTGTGCGTGTGTGTGCACGCGTAAATAATACGTAGTTTTCTGGTTCACAATACTCGTATGGTGGAGGCGGTGAATCACTGACTGATAAACAACAGCACTTGACCTCCATATATGATGATTATCTCTGCACACACACACTCATCATATCAACATAGGGCCACTGAGTTTGAAGAGGTCTCGCGTAACAGGACAGACCGACCACCTGAACGGCTAGTAAGTCGATAAATGGTGAAAATAACAAACTGAAAAATAAACAAATAATATTTCTGGTGCGTGAACCCGAAGCAGTAGAGACTGGTGTATTATTCTAGCCATAAACGTTTCGGGTTCACGAGTCTGAATCTTTGGGTTGGTGGTTCAGGAGCCAGGAGGAGAGGCGGCAGGTGGGTGACTGTACAATATATATTCTATTCCCTGGACCTTGGGATACAGTTACCAGTGACCTTCTTAAATGACCCAGGATGAAAAAATAAAGTAAACAAGTACCCATGGGGACCGGTGGTAGAAGCGGTACCTTTCTTGCCTTGCAAGCGAGATGTCACGGGTTCGATTCCCGGGCCGGTGGAAGTTGTTTGGACTTACTTCCTAGCCCCCATTAGTCCCTGTTCACCTAGCAGTAAAGTAGGTACCTGTTGTAAGTCGAAAGTTGCGAATTCGTATTCAGGGAAAGTTGTTGGAGCTTCCAATAACTTGATGACATAAACCACTGACTCTTCAGGCATCTACGCCCTTGACTCTTCAGGCTTCTACGCCCTTAACTCATGAGACATAAAGGCAAGCATGAACTTAGTATGCTTCCCTGTTGGGCGCCGTAAACGCTTCTGCGCTTCACCTTACACAAGGATGTAGGGGAGTGCCCAATAATCAGCAAAAAAATCAGCAGAGCACCCGATTGGGTCAATAATCATATTTTAGAAGAATTATATAAATAGTATGTTAGCAAGTAATAGACTCAAAGACAGACAGATATTGGAAAGTACTGAATTCCTTAAGACATAAATTAACTTGGGACAGTTCTATGTGGCTGAGGTGCCCAAACACACACTCACTCTCTCTCTCTCTCTCTCTCTCTCTCGTAATGACCCAAGTTGTCGACGGCTAGAAAATCAAATCAACTGTAAACATCTCACTTAATTCATTCTTAGTTAATACACTGTAGTCATTTGGCTCAGTTATGTACGACAGGACTTTTATGTTGTTGTTGTGATCGGTGGTAGTGATTGAGGTAGTTGTCTTGTTATTGGTAGTGGTGGTGGTGATTGTTGTTGTTGTTTAAAGAGCTGGAGTAAACAAACATGTTATTAACCCACTCAGCAGCCAGAGCACAGGTTTACAAGGGGCTCTACTTCTCCCTCAAGTCTCCAACAGATTATCTTGTGTTATCTCTCTTGGTCAACGGTGGATAATGAGCACCACCGCCCGGCCCCGATACCCTGGTTACCCATCCTCACCACCTTATTTCACCTTAAAATTAAACCTAACCTAACCTAACCTAACACAACCCAACCCAACCCAACCCAACCCAACCTAACCCAACCCAACCCAACCCAACCCCAATCCAGCTAATGCTTCCGGCAACCTAACCTGTGGCAGCTCAACCTAACCTAACCTAACCTAACCTAACCTAACCTAACCTAACCAAATAGTCCCAATTGTTCCTATACAGTTGCGCACGACTTTGCTACAGTAAGATTTAGAGAATGTGCTACACAGTGTACACAGAGAGTCTTTAAATACTGTAATATTATATGGGCACGAACTCCATTCAAATGCCCATTCATGGTAGCTGCCCCATCACACTCTTCGCCAACAATTTTATTCTGGATCAGGGTTCAATTTCTCTATTTGGCTCATAATTACTTGGACAAGACAATGATCAGTAACACCATACATAGGTACAAACTCAACAAAATCTTCCCTAATTCCACTACAAACATCACCACAGTATCGGACACACAGTGAGAGTTGTTCTGCGCACGAGGTACTGCTGTATCACTCTTATCAGTCATCTCATCAGCTAGGAATGTAAAACACTTTGCAGACCTGATTCTCGTCACTAGCTGGTCTTGAACTACAGTACTTACCCACAAGCCTTAATTATATAATTTTGAATGGTAGGAATTGTAGTTTTTACTTCTAGTTTTAAGATATTTCTCCAGTAATGTCCCCAGTATACAGCACTTACACGAAACCTCAGCAGAGAATTCTTTCATTACTGTTTGCTTTAACATCAATAATTCCACCATAAGAACCTCAGAGTGTTAGCTGGAGACTACACAGAACTATTGTTTTCATTATAAGGAGTGTGGCATGATTTCATCTACTTAGCATTTCCTTTCACTGTCTACCAAAGCAACAATGCAAATACTTTCCTTCTGCAATTGACAGAACCCTTTTTAGCACCAACAGAAGCATAATTATGATAATCTAGATTTACATACATACTAAAAGTTCACTATTTCCGAAAATATGCTGAAATTTCGGTGGGGAAGGGGGGGTCCGTTTCCCATGACCCCACCCCCTTGAACACGGCCTTGGTGGGCAGACAGTGTAGTATGTTAAGTGGAGCCAGAACGTATGGAGGGTTTCCACTGGTCATGGTAGCAGCGTCACTGTCAACGCTATCAAAACCCTCCACCTCTTATCTTGAGGAGACAACTGACGTGATTCACCAATAACAATAATTAAATGAAAGGTTAGACACAGATAGATGGAGTAATAGATAGATAATGGAATGATGGGTGGATAAATAGATAAATGCTGTGATAGATGGATGGATAGACTGATAGAGCGATAAACTGATAGATATATACGGATTAATAGATAAACAGATGACAAAAGAGATGGATAGACTATGAAAATGTACTGATAGATAGAGTAACAGAGAGAGTGACAGATAAATGAATAGAGTGATGGATAGATTTAGTGACAGGTGAATATATAGCGAGGGAAGAAATAGATAGATAGATAGATAGATAGATAGATAGATAGATAGATAGATAGATAGATATTGTCTCCTAACTATCAAGTCTACTACTTGATGCAATAAGAAAACACATTTGGCCAAAGTCACACAGAAATTCGTTAAGCCGTTATAAATAGTTCTGTACCGCAGCTGTGGGTTAGGTTAGGTGAGACGATGAAGAATGCTCAGGTGTCCACGAGAGATCAAGAGAGAAGTTATACGTTACCTCCAGTGTGCGGTGGTCCAGGTCCAGACGCACCATAGAGTTCTGTAGAAGGGAGATGGCAGCCCTCTTGAAATTTAATGCCCTTGGGTCCTCGTCTGGTGAAGGGCAGACTTCCTCCACCACTCCATCATGGTAGGCGAATCTGTGTGAATGAAGGTTACGTTATGTTATATTACAATAGGTTAGAAACGTTAGATTCAGATAAGAAAGGAAGTTAGATACAATTAGGTTAGGTTAGGATGTAGTAGGGAAGTTCGATTAGGTTGAGACAAGTTACATTAGACACGTTAAGGTTAGGTTAATAAAACTAGTTTAAGAGGGTTAGATTAGGTTGTGTTTGGTTAAATTTGGTTAAGAAGATTGTTTAGTTTGATAAAGTTATGAATACTGTATTATCTAAAAATAGTAATGAAGTCTGTATTCATGAATGTTTGAAAACAGTGTTTTCATGCAGCACTCATACATGCTATATAAACCTACTGTACTTTTGAGGCTTTGTTTTAGTAAATAACAGTATATTTACATTATATTGCCTTCTGTGAAAATGAGGCATGTTATGAATGGTCCAATATAGAAACTTACTGGGAACAGGACTTACGTGACTTACACATCCATTGGTTATCTCACCTTAACGGGTTTTTGGTGAGGGCTGCTGTAAATGCAGTGTCTTCCACAGTTTGTTCCTGTCCACCACTGTCACTCTTGCTGGACATTACACCGACTCTCTCAACCTACAAAGAAAGATTCAGTCACTCAGCTAAACGAAACCAGGTCAAGTGGGTGGGTGAAATATGAACTAGGCATCTCAGGTGCAGAACATCATAAAATTTGCATTACTAACTAATAAGTCTAAATATTTTGGATCCACTTTCCATGATTTCTTGTACCCCTTAGGTTAGATTAGGTTTGTTCAATAGTTAGTGAAACAGACTTGTAACTAGAGGTGGTCAGGTTCACAGGGAGTCATTAGTAGTCATAATTATATATAATATTAACAAAATACTTATTATTATTAAACTCTTCGGGGAGAGTAAACATGAGTTAGAGAAAAACAAGAGACGAAACAAGAAAGAGAGAGAGAATGAGAACAAGAGAACAGAGAGAGAGACCATACCACTAACTCCATTTCACAGGCCGTCAGCACGTTGAGAGCGAGGCTGGCGTCCATAGTAAGAGAGGTGACAGACGGAGAAGACCCCACTACCTCCGTCTGCGTCTGCGTCACATACTGGTATTTATACGTCCGTCCGTCCACCAGTCGGAGCTTCTTTCCCACTGACCGCAGACAACAGGGAAATAGAGACTTGCACCCATGGAAACTCATAAAAGTACAAACGCAGGAAAATAAACATGATTTTTACCCCCATGAGATCATAAAAATTATATCAATAATCCATGGACGTATATAATGGGGGTAAAGCTTAACATCACAGCAATGGGTAGGTAGTAGGCAGCTAACAAACAGGGAGGTACTACCGCCTGGGAAGATATTGGAAGCATAATGTGTTGTCTAATGGTAGACCCTGCTGCCATATGTGACCAAGTCCCAGGTTGATGTTCTGACTTTCTGCCTCATTTACACACAATTGCAACATACATAGATTGTTTCTCACTTTTGATTTTGTTTTAATATTTGTTTTCCTTTATAGTTTTTTATTGTTATTATTATTACAGGGTTATTGTTATTGTTGTTATCATTATTATTTTATTATTTTTTTATAAATTTTATTTACTATGAATTATTATTATTATTAAATTTTCGACCCCCCCCCCTCCAGGCCCCGGGTGGGTTAATCCCTGTAAAAACAAAACGAAACGGAAATTTAACATAGGATAGCCAAGTTAACAAACAAAACTAAGTTATCATAATCAACTTAAGTTAAATTATCTAACCTTAAATAAACAAACATAACATAACATAATCTAACCTAACCTAAATTATACATTATTTATTCTCATTACTATCTGAAATAACAATAATATCATCAGTTAAAATGTAAGGGTGCATCGAACTGGTTAACTTCAGCTAAAACACTAAAACATTACCATTATATATGACATTTTAACATTAACTATATACATTCACTTATCATAACTAGAAGATGTTGAAGTACGTAATATTTTCCACAATTAATACGTTATACAAGTGATTTTTAAGTATTTATTTAAGTATGTATGTGTGTGTGTGTGTGTGTGTGTGTGTCTATATTATACAGAGTGTTTACAGATCTGAAACGCAAATGTTATGCTAACTCTGAACCTGTATACTTAGCCAAAAACAAATACAGAAATTCAAGTATTTTGGAGAAACTGTATATATACGGTAACACACACCCACACGCACACACACACACACACACACACACACACACACACACACACACACACACACTACAAATCAGTATCATATCAACTTTGAACTCCTGATATGATCTCTTAAAGACATACGAGCATAAAGACGATAAGTGTAACAACCATTAGATTCAGATTTGGCCCCATGAAGCGAGGAGAATCATCATCTACAGTACAGGTGAATGAGGTTAGTACTTGAGTATTAAAGGGTCAAGAGTCAATTACTACCTTATCTTTACCTGTATCAGGGTCCACATTCTCAAAAGGGTTGTAAGTTAAATTGTTTTCACCTTACCTAAACATCTGAGAACTTCACTAATTGTCTTACACTACAAAGAAAATACGTTCTCAGAGATGGAAGGGCATTTCATATAGACACAGTTAACCTAAAGCACAATGATGGGTTTTTAAAGGTTCATTGCAATTTGCTGTAATTATGGTAAGACTCTACATCTATAGTTATGATCAAATCTCCATACTTTAACCCGACCATCTTTGCCAAATAAAAAGAAGTTAGTTTAATGCATTCTTAGTTCTTCAGTTAGGGATAATTTTTCCAAGGAATATTTTAGTTCTTTCTTGTGTTGTAGTTTCGGTGGTACAGTTGGAAGCATTCTCCCATTGTATCAGTTGGGGGTAAATCCTAAAGTACAGATTTTATCAACATTCAAAGGTGACTCCTGTTACGTCCACTCAACGGTATTACGCTTCGCTTGGACCCTCCGCACTAGTTGACCAAATAGCGTCAGCCAGAGTAAGGAGCAATGCTTGTTATTTCTGCCTCAGTAAGAGTTATTAGAGAGGTTCAAAAGTGGCAAAATATTGTTTGAAACCCCTGAACCCCCCCACCAATGGTCCCGTGATGCCTCCAAGGATACTCACACTGGCATTTCTTAAGGGCACATCTTTCCCAGGGTTCCCTTGGTGGCGGAGTTTGTATATTTTCTGCAGCTGTGGTATACGAGAAGAAACACAAATTATTAATCATATTCCCTCTACTGTTGTTTCTGAATTAACAAAATACAATGAAAACAATCTAATACAAGAGTGAAAAATACCTATAATCACAAAATCTTCAAACCCTATACTGAAAACATTTTACAAGACAATATGAGCGAGGAAAACACATTGTTCTGTTTAATCACATTTCGCTAAGTATGATGGTGATACTACATATGAGATACTAGAAAACATACTACGACACAATACTAACACAATACACACCATCATTTATTATTTCACATCACCACACAATAAGAGGGTTCCAATAATGAAAATTACACTTACGTTGTTGGTCGTCATCTTGATCCTGTGATGATGGAGGAGCAACTTCATCAACCTCCACCGCCTCCTCTACATCAGCGCCTCCTACAGCAGGTTGATTACCTTTGTTCTGTGTAACCAGGGGAGGGAGGGGCAAAGCTGTGTGAGTCACTGCTTCATACATGATGGATATCTTTTGGAATTATTGTTAACTGAGTCCTCTAGTAAGTCCCATTGTTGTGATTGGTTTATTATCATTATCATCATCATTAATGTTTTCATATTTATTTTCATTTTTATATTATTACTATTATTATTATTATTATTATTATTATCATTATTAATTATTATTATAAGTGGCAGTTAAGACTCACCGAGCAGTCATACAGCGGAAATTCATCAGTGTCGTCGGTACAGTCAGGAAAGTCATCACACACCCACTCAAAATTGATACACTCCCCGCTGTCCCTACACTTGAACTGGTCCTTGGTACACTGTTCGGCCTGGCCCACCGTCACCACCACACCTGTAGCAGAAATTCTCATGAACGTGACATATTTAGATGTGTAAGCAAGATATACGTATGTCGCGTATATTAGAAAGCCAAGTACGAACCCACACACCCACATACTCATACGTTAGCAAGGTAGTACACACATACTACTACTACTAATAATAATAATAAATAATTAACGGTTTATTAAGAAAACATGGCAGCCCGAAGGCTGAAAATATACAATGAACAGAGGTGATAAGTTACATATGGTGAAATCGGGGAGTGGGTCACTTGATTGACAAAAGTTTTCAATACAGAACATAAGAAACATAGAGTCAACATAAAGATTAACTGCAAATTACTGGAAACAATCATTTCAAACTCTATTCGAAGTCATCTGGAGAAGCACAAGTTGATCAATGATTCCCAACATGGCTTCACAAGCGGGCGTTCATGTCTAACTAATCTATTAACATTCTTTTCATCTGTTTTCGAATCAGTGGACGAGGGGCACAATTATGATGTGGTATATCTCGACTTTAGCAAAGCCTTCGACAGTCCCCCACGAAAGACTAATAAGAAAAGTGGAGGCTCATGGCATTAATGGTGATATTCTAAAATGGATTAGGGCGTGGTTACAGGACAGAAAACAGCGAGTGAGCATTAACGGCACTAAATCCCATTGGAGCAACGTCACTAGTGGAGTTCCGCAAGGCTCAGTACTTGAACCATTGTTATTTATTATATACATAAACAACATAGATATCGGCGTAGACAGCAACATAAGTAAATTTGATGATGACACTAAAATAGGACGTGTAATTAAATCTGACGAGGACTCCGCAAAACTACAGGAAGATCTAAACAAATTTTTCGAATGGTCTGAAAAATGGCAGATGAAATTCAATGTGGATAAATGTAAAGTACTCAGTATAGGAGATGTAAACAGGGAAACCAGATACCAGGGTTAAACAAAGGGGGCATTACAAAGGTACTCAAACTATCCAACCAGGAGCGAACTCGTAACAATGGTTTTAAATTATACAAATTTAGATTTCGGCGTGAAATAGGTAAACACTGGTTTGGAAACAGAGTAGTGGATGAATGGAACAAGTTACCAAATATCATCATTTACTCGAATACGCTGGATAGCTTCAAACATAGGTTGGATGCTTATGTGAGCAATAGGGGTTGGGTGTAAACGGGACTGCCCAGTATGGGTCAATAGGCCCGCTGCAGTTTCCTCCATTCTTATGTTCTTATGTTCAAGCGATGAAGACTGGAGAATGTCAGAGGAATTTTGTATCTCCCAAGAGTTTTTTAAACGTTGCTAGAAACGCAATAAACTCCGAGTCAATTTGAAGTAGCAAGCCCCGAGCATCTACTGACTTTTCTCCACATTGCTCTCCAGCTATTTCTTCTAGCACACGCAATACTGCCGGCAACCTGTCCATTAAATTGCGACAGGAAATATACCTGCATGCCCACCGGGATGGCCAAGCTTCACTGATTGTCGCTCCAACAGTTGTTTCTTCCTTTCGAGTTGAAATTATCACTTTTGTATATCAGTTGTGGGTTGAAGGTCAATCTTTGCACTGTACTGTTGGTGGGAGGATGTTGATAAATCCAGATGGGGAGGAGATGGGGAAGGGGAGGGGCCGACAAACCAGGCTGGCAGCTGTCTCCATGGTCAAGAGGCCACGGCCGCGTGAGCGGGCAGCGACTACTACACACGTCCTTACCCTATGAAGGCAATCGAGACCCATTCCCCAATTATGTAACTATATTTTCAGCCTTCCGACTGCCATGCTCTTTCAATAAACCGTTAATTATTATTATTATTATTATTATTATTATTATTATTATTATTATTATTATTTTAAAGATATAATTTTGGGGGGAAAAAGACAAGCAGTGGTTCACATGATGCACTCAACTGTTTAAAAAACAAACAGACGCATAAACAAGATACACATGGTAGTAGGCAGCTATCAAACAGGGAGGTACTACCGCCTGGGAAGATATTGGAAGCATAATGTGTTGTCTAATGGTAGACCCTGCTGCCATATGTGACCAAGTCCCAGGTTGATGATCTGACTTTCTGCCTCATTGACACACAATTGCAGGGTCTCAATTGTTTCTCTTGTCGTTTCTCACCATTGATTGGTTTTTTTTTAATTTTTGTATTTATTTATTATTATTATACTTTTTACTTATTTTATTAATTATTATTATTATTATTATTATTATTTTATTATTATTATTATTATTATTATTATTATTATTATTATTATTATTATTATTATTATTATATTTCGTCCCTCAGGCCCCGATGTGGGTCAGTGACCTGTGCCCGGGTGGGCTAATCCCCGTAAAAAAAAATTATATATATATATATATATATATATATATATATATATATATATATATATATATATATATATATATATATATATATATATATATATATATATATATACTGTATATATATATTTTTTTTTTTACATAATACACACTCATGTACAAAAAATCATACATGCATATAAGTACATATGTTCACAAATATACAATACACGTATTTACATCATACATACAAATGTACACTACATAACATACTGCAAACAAGAGTATAAAAATACACAAGTGGAACAATACATATTCAGGTGCACCACATATATACATGCACGTGTAAGCAAGATATATATGTACAAGTGTGATATAAAGTTGTGTACACAATATACATATGTAATCAACATATAGTACATACACAGGTACACATATGATACATACTCATTCACACCAGATACGAACAAATACCGTAAACATACACACAAGAAACATACTTTATATGTTGTGTCCAAGCCACACGTATGACCTTCCTTACTGTGTGCACAAGGTCACTTGGTACACACAGCCAGTTAACAAAACTTTTACAAAAAGTATCAACTAAACAGTCAATCGGTTAACAAAACAGTCAATCGGTTAACAAAACAGTCAGTCGGTTAACAAAAATATTCAGTCTTTTAACGAAACAGACATTAAAATTACCCTGAAACTGTCTTAAATTTATATGGTCAGTTAACAGTTAACACCAGTTGAGAGACGATGTTAACATACAAAATCTTTTCAAATATGTATCTACACAAACACACACACACACACACACACACACACACACACACACACACCAACAACAACAATAACAACAAAAACAATGACACACACACACACACACACACACACACACACACACACACACAGGGATCACCAAGGTGTATTTGTATCACCGTTATTACTCAATTTTGTTTTGTGGATGCTCTCTCTCTCTCTCTCTCTCTCTCTCTCTCTCCTGTTAAACACCACCGAACACCTACCATATATTGTCACACTTAACCTAGCTTACGTAACCTAATCTAACCCGACCTAACCTAACCTAACCTAACTCATTCTACCTAATCTACACCCTACTTATCCTAACCCACCCTACCCTACCTAACCGACCCTAACTACCCCACCCACTTCACCTAACCTAACCTAACCTAACCTAACCTAACTTAATCCACTTCAAATATTCTAAATTTCATCCTACATACAAAAGACAATAAAATCATCAATAACAACAAGAAGTCGCTGGTAGTAAGAAGCCTTAATTACGACAAAACACTCCTCACGCGGTAAAGACAATTATCAGTAAGGTCAGGAAAGATTTATATAATGATATTTTGTGTATTTACCTAAAATAAAAGCGAGCACCAGCCACAGTCTTGAAGGTGCCATCATATACAAGTTTTCATGTCCACGGGATATTTCTCAAAAGGTTTTCTCAGGTAGAGTGTTTCCTTGTCGTGGCGTTAGATGACCCCTCACACAGGACGCAGTAAACAAACACCTCAGGTCTATTCACTTTTCCTCGGCGTGGTGAGGTGATGACCCACTTTTACACTACTCTTCTTGATCTTCAGCCACTTAAGTGATGAAAATAAAACCTTCAACATATAGAGCTCACAGTAATGGGGAGTGTGAGGGACGTGGCCTCATTAATCACACACCAGGTTGTAACTGAGGGCAGGCTGCTACCGGCGCCACCACTTGACCATTGGTCCTCTAAGATAACTGATAGTCTGTTTACCTTATCTTCCTACCTGTGCTGTCTCCCTCACCACTGTACTGTATTGTATTGTACTGTCTCCCCCTACCACTGTACTGTACTGTATTGTATTGTACTGTCTCCCCCTACCACTGTACTGTACTGTATTGTAATGTACTGTCTCCCCCTACCACTGTACTGTACTGTATTGTATTGCACTGTCTCCCTCACCACTGTATTGTGTTGTACTGTCTCCCTCACCACTGTACTGTATTGTACTGTCTCCCTCACCACTGTACTCTACTGTACTGTATTGTACAGCTTCTGGCACCGATCGCACAAGCGGTGAAATAGTCATTTTTCTGAAGTACCTTACAGTTTGTTATATACTGCGACACCTGTACAGTGCAAGTTTACACGAAACACTCATGTATTATACACTGATATATAAATATGTATTTCCAAACACACAAACACACACACACTCACACACACACACACACACACACACACACACACACACACACGTCACCAGCCTGGTCGTCTTCTCTCAACTCCACCCAACAACGTCAGCTAGAGAAGGTACAGAAAAGGGCCTGCAGAATCATGCTCGGCGCAGAATACTCCGGCTACACCAACGCTCTCTCCATCCTGGAAATGCCATCCCTCAGTGACCTCCACCACCATGCACTGGAAAGGTTTGGCAGTGGACTACTGCACCACCCTCGTCATCGCCACCTCCTGCCACCTGCAGCCCCCCACCCAACTCGCACAGTCCGCCACTACAACAATATTCAGCCCATAAGAGCCCGCACCGATAGATATAAGAACAGCACCATCCCATCTATTGTTAAAATAATAAACAACTCCTGATTTATGTACTGCACAGCCCTGTAAATGTATTCAATGCATATTATATCATTATGTCTAAATCAAATGTAAGTCTGTATATTTTCAGCCACCGGCTGCAACTCTATTAATAAACAGTTTATTATTATTATTATTATTATTATTACACACACACACACACACACACACACACACACACACACACCACAGACAATAAACAAACACAAATACTTACATAACCAAATAACAATCTCGAACAATAAATGTTTCCCCAATCCTCACAATGTTATTTCATAATTCTAAACTAATTTGAAAATAAATATGAAATATATTATTAACAGTAAAAATATAAATTAAAAATTCTATAGATCTGTAACATCCTATCATAAGTGTATAAGTTTTATTAAAATTATAACATAATTGTTATTAAAGCATAATTTTAAAGTAAAATTTTCGATGTTCATCTTTTCTAATTTTATATACAACTTAACGTCTTATTTCAGTTATGTATCACTAAATTTTGGAAAGCCTCGTGGAATGAAGGCAAATAACTGCAACGAATACAGTATAATAAAAACAGTAACGGCCGATACGAGTAATAATATTCCTTTATGTTACCAAGTACAGTATTAGTTAAGCTAGTATCGGTGGTATTAAGTACTGGTAACTGGTGAACCCAGTATACAAGTAGGTTGTCTTGAGTACTCTGCTGGAAAAGAAAATGCAGTTGCTGGGTGTTTTATGGACTCGGTTATCTATAATGAGATATTTTAGTTTTAAGGGATATGCATTGCTATTTACATCAATGTTACTAATGAATTAGAATATCCCCTTTCTTTTTTTCCATTGGTTTATCTTCAAATTAATAACAAATAAAAAATCCGTTAAAGCTAATCCCGCTAAGATGACATGACAACAGACGTGATTCCCTACCGTCTAATCAGTGCACAGGAGAACACTGTATACTTTACATGTAATAGTACAATCACTTGACTGTACTCAATGATTTGGCTGTTAAAGTACTCAAAATACTCGACACCTAGCAATTAGTATCGATACTTTCAAGTACTGTATATAGCTGGTATCAGAATTATCGGTATGCCTGACTAATATACAGTACGCAATGTGAAAATGTTCCAGTTCATGCAGTGTATGTTGAGTAGAGGTTAGGCTAATCAGGAGAGAACTCCCAACATTCAATAAACTTCACGTTAACCTGGAGTAACCTAACCTAACATAACCTAACCAAGTCTAGCTTAACCTACCCTGTCCAACATATACACAAACTATACACAGCATAAACAACATGAAACATAAACTTTTTACAGATGATTTAGACATGACAGATTTGACACAATGATTAAACATACTGTTGTGCCAAGGCATAATTTAGAATTATAAGTTTTGTGAACTATGTGTTTTTATTATTTTCTATTACAAGCAACAGTTATTTTGGCATGTTTGGGGAGATTTTCTTGTATACAGTATATTGATGTAGACTGTAGAGGAACAGTACACAAACTCCTATGGTACTTGAAGCAGAAGAGGGGGGGGGGGGATTCGATGAAGAGGCCCCGGGGAGGACGTACCAGGGGACGGGTAGTGGCAGCAAGAGCGCCAGTGCAGAACCAAGGGACAACGGGACACCCCCCACCCGCTCTACCTCCCACCCAGGAGGAGGCGAGCGCCATATAAACAATGCCATCTTTGACCACACCCCACAAAACACAATGTATTTAGTAAACGCTGCAGCTCCGGAGAATGACGGGGGCCGGAGTTACCAAGAGCAGAGACGTTACCGAGAACAACTTCCGACTTGAATGTCATGTACACTAATACTGACACGTTCCTTGATAAGAGAGAGGAGTTTGAAACACTACTGAAGGTACATCAACCCGATATAGTAGGCGTTATAGAACTGTTGTACAAGAACAGGAGAATCGAGCAGGAGGAATGCGAGTTCAACATAGACAATTATGACTCATTTACGAGCCTTTCTCAAGCAACTTGCAAGAGGGGTGTGGTTATCTATGCTAGGCAAGACCTTAGAGCCAGCCAGGTGAGGGTACAGGGAGAGGATGTTTTTGAAGAATGAAAATGATGTAAAATTAAGTTAAATGGGAAAGACTTACTTATTGTCGGGTGTATCTACAGATCCCCAAACTGTAGCGCATTAAACCAAAGAAACTTAAAAATCTTAATTGACATTGTAACGGCGCACAACGCTAGCCACCTCCTTGTCATGGGGGACTTTAATTGTGGCGACATCGACTGGAGAAATGAATCCACGCCAAACTACCAAAATGATCCAGCCAGCACTTTCGTAGAAACTCTGAGAGACAATTTTCTATTCCAACATGTTAAAGATCCGACTCACTACAGAGGAGAGCAAACACCCAAACCGCTGGACGCATACGAGGAAGGTATGGTGGCCAAACTGGAACATCTAGCACCAGTCACCATAGAAGCCCATTGTTGATGATAAGTGTTTACTATTCCATTATACGCGCTCAAGTTGGTACCCTGACCACCATCTGGGGTGGCTCTTCTTCTGTCCAACTGTTAGATAGGGTTTAATCAAAGGCATTTCTTCTTATTAACTCTCCTCCTTTAGTTGATGATCTTTCTTCTCTTTCTCTTCGCCGCAATGTTGCTTCACTCTCTCTTTTTAACAGTACTTTAACGGGCAATGTTCGGTGGATTTGGCAGTGGATGTGCGGATGTCGGTCACACAAGAATAACCCGTTATAGTACATCCTTCTTTCCTCACACAGCCAAATTGTGGAATGCTCTGCCTTCTTGTGTTTCCATACTCTTACAATCTGTCTCACTTTAAAAAGCTGGTTTTCTTGTATCTTCGTGGTGTTCATTAGCATACTATTTTTCTCTTCTGATTTATATTTTTTTACTCTTATCCCCCCCCCCGGGCCCCGTTGTGTGTGGGTGACCTGCGCCCGGGTGGGTTATTCCCCGTAACCCAAGTGCAATCTAGTTATTTCACATACTACATTCTTTCGATATGTTTGTGTAATAATGTATACGAAATGTTTATGAGCTAATACTTGTATGTGTCTGTGAATTGATATGTGTATGTATGTGTTTACATGTGTATGTGTGTTTTATATTCATATTTGTTTATTCGTTAAAATACATACAGTATATGTATATGGTTGTGTATTAGTATATGTACAGTATGCTTGTTTGTTAATATATGTGCGTTGATGTTTAAATATATCTCTGTATCCACATATGTTACTGTATGGGTTTATGTAAATTCTGTATTTATGATTGTGTATTAATGTGTATGTATATTTGTGGATACAGCACTCGACTCCTTTCCTAGAGATCACCTGTTCGACCCTGGCGCCCTCAGTCCACCCAGCGTATAATTGAGTATAAGTATGTGAATAATATTATGTATATAAATATGTGTATGTATGTTTGTATATGAATATGTAAAAATAAAACATAATAAAAAGCTAAAATAAAGGACTTTGGTGACCCGTGATTTACACACTAGGTTCGTGACGTCACAGCAGCCTGGTGACGTCATAAGTGATAGTTGCCAAGTGGGACTTTTCTATAGGAAACATGTGAGTGAAGGTGTTGTCACAGTGCCATCGCGACGTGACAGTGTGGAAGTCATATGTTGTTTACTTAGCCCAATGTTCGTCTGTGTTAATCATACAGGTGGACGCTTTTTGTGGTAATAGTGTTAGGTTAGGTTAGGTGGGGCTAATTTTCAGGTGATTCATATGAACGATTAATTCTTTAACAACAGACTGACTGACCTCTATTCTCCAGAAACAAAATTCCTCGTTTTTCCGACGGTTTATAAACAAAATTCTAACACCTGACAGTCAAGCGAGATTTTTTTTAATAGAATGCGAGTTTTATGTTGTAATATTTATGTTCTTAATATTTTATCTTAAATGGACAGTGGTGAAGTCCAGGCCTCTGGTTCTAATACTGGACCACCCGAAAGGCTAGTAAGCTGATAAGTGGCGCCAATTATATATTAACACCACCAGTCAGATTTACTCTTACGAAGTCAGTTACAAGGAATATTCATGGTATGAATATGTATGAATCTGACACAAGGACTTTACGTGAGGGGAACTATCATG